ACCAGAATCTCATCCTTTGATATCAGGTAGGTAATGGAGAAGTTACAATAAGATTACCACCAGAATCTCATCCTTTGATATCAGGTAGGTAATGGAGAAATTACAATAAGATTACCACCAGAATCTCATCCTTTGATATCAGGTAGGTCATGGAGAAGTTACAATAAGATTGACACCAGGATCTCATCCTTTAATATCAGGTAGGTCATGGAGAAGTTACAATAAGATTACCACCAGAATCTCATCCTTTAATATCAGGTAGGTCATGGAGAAGTTACAATAAGATTACCACCAGAATCTCATCCTTTGATATCAGGTAGGTCATGGAGAAGTTACAATAAGATTACCACCAGAATCTCATCCTTTGATATCAGGTAGGTCATGGAGAAGTTACAATAAGATTACTACCAGAATCTCATCCTTTAATATCAGGTAGGTAATGGAGAAGTTACAATAAGATTACCACCAGAATCTCATCCTTTGATATCAGGTAGGTCATGGATAAGTTACAATAAGATTGACACCAGGATCTCATCCTTTAATATCAGTTAGGTAATGGAGAAGTTACAATAAGATTACCACCAGAATCTCATCCTTTAATATCAGGTAGGTCATGGAGAAGTTACAATAAGATTACCACCAGAATCTCATCCTTTGATATCAGGTAGGTCATGGAGAAGTTACAATAAGATTACCACCAGAATCTCATCCTTTGATATCAGGTAGGTCATGGAGAAGTTACAATAAGATTACTACCAGAATCTCATCCTTTAATATCAGGTAGGTAATGGAGAAGTTACAATAAGATTACCATCAGAATCTCATCCTTTAATATCAGATAGGCCATCATGGAGAAGTTACAATAAGATTACCACCAGAATCTCATCCTTTGATATCAGGTAGGTAATGGAGAAGTTACAATAAGATTACCACCAGAATCTCATCCTTTGGTATCAGGTAGGTAATGGAGAAGTTACAATAAGATTACCACCAGAATCTCATCCTTTAATATCAGGTAGGTCATGGAGAAGTTACAATAAGATTAGCACCAGAATCACATCCTTTGATATCAGGTAATGAGGTATATAAATGGAGAAGTTACAATAAGATTACCACCAGAATCTCATCCTTTGATGTCAGGTAGGTCATCATGGAGTAGTTACAATAAGATTACCACCAGAATCTCATCCTTTGATATCAGGTAGGTCATGGAGAAGTTACAATAAGATTACCACCAGAATCTCATCCTATAATATCAGGTAGGTCATGGAGAAGTTACAATAAGATTACCACCAGATCATCCTTTGATATCAGGTAGGTCATGGAGAAGTTACAGTAAGATTACCACCAGAATCTCATCCTTTAATGTCAGGTAGGTCATGGAGAAGTTACAATAAGATTACCACCAGATCATCCTTTGATATCAGGTAGGTCATGGAGAAGTTACAGTAAGATTACCACCAGAATCTCATCCTATAATATCAGATAGGTCATGGAGAAGTAACAATAAGATTACCACCAGAATCTCATCCTTTGATATCAGGTAGGTCATGGAGAAGTTACAATAAGATTACCACCAGAATCTCATCCTTTGATATCAGGTAGGTCATGGAGAAGTTACAATAAGATTAGCACCAGAATCTCATCCTTTAATATCAGGTAGGTAATGGAGAAGTTACAATAAGATTAGCACCAGAATCTCATCCTTTAATATCAGATAGGTAATGGAGAAGTTACAATAAGATTACCACCAGAATCTCATCCTTTGATATCAGGTAGGTCATGGAGAAGTTACAATAAGATTACCACCAGATCATTCTTTAATATCAGGTAGGTCATGGAGAAGTTACAATAAGATTACCACCAGAATCTCATCCTTTGATATCAGGTATGTAATGGAGAAGTTACAATAAGATTACCACCAGAATCTCATCCTTTTATATCAGGTAGGTAATGGAGAAGTTACAATAAGATTACCATCAGAATCTCATCCTTTAATATCAGGTAGGTCATGGAGAAGTTACAATAAGATTAGCACCAGAATCACATCCTTTGATATCAGGTAATGAGGTATGTAAATGGAGACGTTACAATAAGATTACCACCAGAATCTCATCCTTTGATGTCAGGTAGGTCATCATGGAGTAGTTACAATAAGATTACCACCAGAATCTCATCCTTTGATATCAGGTAGGTCATGGAGAAGTTACAATAAGATTACCACCAGAATCTCATCCTATAATATCAGGTAGGTCATGGAGAAGTTACAATAAGATTAGCACCAGAATCACATCCTTTGATATCAGGTAATGAGGTATGTAAATGGAGAAGTTACAATAAGATTACCACCAGAATCTCGTCCTTTGATGTCAGGTAGGTCATCATGGAGTAGTTACAATAAGATTACCACCAGAATCTCATCCTTTGATATCAGGTAGGTCATGGAGAAGTTACAATAAGATTACCACCAGAATCTCATCCTATAATATCAGGTAGGTCATGGAGAAGTTACAATAAGATTACCACCAGATCATCCTTTGATATCAGGTAGGTCATGGAGAAGTTACAGTAAGATTACCACCAGAATCTCATCCTTTAATGTCAGGTAGGTCATGGAGAAGTTACAATAAGATTACCACCAGATCATCCTTTGATATCAGGTAGGTCATGGAGAAGTTACAGTAAGATTACCACCAGAATCTCATCCTATAATATCAGATAGGTCATGGAGAAGTTACAATAAGATTACCACCAGAATCTCATCCTTTGATATCAGGTAGGTCATGGAGAAGTTACAATAAGATTACCACCAGAATCTCATCCTTTGATATCAGGTAGGTCATGGAGAAGTTACAATAAGATTAGCACCAGAATCTCATCCTTTAATATCAGGTAGGTAATGGAGACGTTACAATAAGATTACCACCAGAATCTCATCCTTTAATATCAGATAGGTAATGGAGAAGTTACAATAAGATTACCACCAGAATCTCATCCTTTGATATCAGGTAGGTCATGGAGAAGTTACAATAAGATTACCACTAGATCATTCTTTAATATCAGGTAGGTCATGGAGAAGTTACAATAAGATTACCACCAGAATCTCATCCTTTGATATCAGGTATGTAATGGAGAAGTTACAATAAGATTACCACCAGAATCTCATCCTTTTATATCAGGTAGGTAATGGAGAAGTTACAATAAGATTACCACCAGAATCTCATCCTTTTATATCAGGTAGGTAATGGAGAAGTTACAATAAGATTACCACCAGAATCTCATTCTTTAATATCAGGTAGGTAATGGAGAAGTTACAATAAGATTACCACCAGAATCTCACCCTTTAATATCAGGTAGGTAATGGAGAAGTAACAATAAGATTACCACCAGAATCTCATCCTTTGATATCAGGTTTGTAATGGAGAAGTTATAATAAGATTACCATCAGAATCTCATCCTTTGATATCAGGTAGGTAATGGAGACGTTACAATAAGATTACCACCAGAATCTCATCCTTTGATATCAGGTATGTAATGGAGAAGTTACAATAAGATTACCACCAGAATCTCATCCTTTGATATCAGGTAGGTCATGGAGAAGTTACAATAAGATTACCACCAGAATCTCATCCTTTAATATCAGGTAGGTAATGGAGAAGTTACAATAAGATTACCACCAGAATCTCATCCTTTGATATCAGGTATGTAATGGAGAAGTTACAATAAGATTACCACCAGAATCTCATCCTTTTATATCAGGTAGGTAATGGAGAAGTTACAATAAGATTACCATCAGGTCATTTGTAGATCTTTCAGTCAAAAACCTATTGATTGTGAACTGTTGCAGCTAAACCAGTTGATAAATAAATATGAAAAAATGATGACTTGTGTCTGGCTTACCGTACACTAATGACTTACGTGATTCTACGCCAGAGTTAATGTTAAAATTATTACGATTCGGTCCCAGTGCTTAAAATCCCTCGATCCTTTATGGGTTGATTTGGCATACATAAATAAAATACAAAAATAAGTAAGCAATGAACGAGGTTGTTAAATGTGATATATGCTTTTTTGTGCTTCTTTGTTAATTATTTGTTTGTTTTTGTTGTGATTAAGATTGTGACACGGTGTTGACTGCTGTACCCCTATTTTTACATTTTTACCTATTATGTCTGTTTGTTTTATTCACGCATCGTTGTCAATATAATGGAATTTGATGCGACTGTCATACAAGTGAGAGGTTAGAGCTATAAAACCAGGTTCAATCCACCATTTTCTACATAAGAAAATGCCTGTACCAAATCAGGAATACGACAGTTGTTGTCCATTCGTTTGATGTGTTTGTGCTTTTGATTTTGCCATTTGATTAGGGACTTTCCGTTTTGAATTTTCCTCTGAGTTCAGTATTTTTGTGATTTAACTTTTTACATGTTAGGGTACTAGCAGAGGACATAGTTTCACATGGGAACTAGAAAATCTTCTTGTGAACCACACAAACAAAATGTGACAGTTAGGTTCCTTGTAAAAATTCTTATGGAGAGACTTAGTTTACATTGGAGCCTATGAGAAATAGATTGTAAAATCTTGGGAACAACTAGGCAAATTAAAATGTTTCTTTTGATGTACTTATCAAGGATTTTCACTTTAGCTTATTTGCAATTTGGTTGCTTGTAAAATATATAAAAAAAATCATCTGAACAGGACAGAATAATATAGTAAAATTTGTTTAATGGACAGCTTCTTAACTTGTTGAAATAAGATATGACAGAAAGTTTCCTTGTGTGAAACAAATTAAACTTTTGTACTTTATCATGTTTATTATGACAGAAAGTTTCATTGTGTGGAACTAATTGATCTTTGTACTTTATTATGACATAAATATAAAAATGCTCAAATTAGCTGAGGAGATATAGTCACTTCTTTGAAGAAGTTATGTCAAACATACTTTAGTATATTTCAGAAATAAAATATATGACTATTTGCTGTTTTGAACATTTCAGAGTTAAGGCCATTCAAAGTATGCATTGAATTTTCACTAGAACAGCCAAAGGGAGGAATTCACTTTGTAACTCCTAATATGGAAGGTACACCAGCAGAGAGAAGTTGTCACTTGTATACATATAAAAGTCTATATGAAAATTCTTCAAGGTATAAATAATCTCATATTTTCTTTCTTATTGTCTCATTTTCTCTAAATTGGGATGTTTTGGCAGTGTTTATGTTAGTTGATTATTTGGTGCCTATAAAGAAAGTACCAAAACTACACACATCAAATAGATAAATGCAAAAGTTTGGAGAATCAGTTTTTAATATCTGACTACTCTAAGTTTGAATTAAAAGGAGATATTGGGTATTTGTCATTCAGCAACAAAAGACACAAACAACCAAAACAACAACTTGAGATTGACTTTTTATATTCATTGAACAATACACCACATCCCCTTTTATTCATGTTCATATGATCTAGCCTATGCTGACAAATTATTGAATATTAAAACCTGGTTAAACATTTTTAATTAATTCTTTTAATTAATATAATTATTGTGTTTATCTTTCATATAAATGTGAACTTGCAATGTTGTCCTATTTCAGGTGCCAAATTGATATATGAACACATATTTAAACCAGACTTTAACCAGTCACCCCCAATTAAATTAGAAATAAAGATTACTACAGATCTAGAAATTTATGACTCCAAATTCAACAAAAAATTATGATTTTAATATGGTAATGATTTTGCAATAACAAATAATTTTTTCACAAAAGTTTTAAGAATGAAATTTATATTGAATAGGATGTGGTTCCCCTGTATTGATACATTCTCAGAACTATGTACCTGGAAGATAGAGATCACTACCGAAATGGACATGACAGCTGTGTCGTGTGGTGATCTTATAGAGGTTATGCAGATGCCAGACAGAAAGAGTAAAACATTTCATTACTTCCTGTCAACACCAACTGCTGCACCAAATATAGCAATGGCTGTTGGGTAATTTGATTTTTTCTTAGATGACCTTACTTAGGTTATTCATCCATCTTTTATATCATTATAATTCTTTAATCTATTTTGATATAAAAGCAATGATGCATTATATAGAATATGAACCAAAAACTAAAGTGATATTTTGCTGGAAATCAATTAAAAAGTTGCATACTAGATTACAATCATGATGGTCTAAAAAGATGGCTTACAGTAACACATTCATATACTGAAAACTTAGACCTATATTACCTTGACAACAGAAGTTTAAATGTCATTTTTACATCTGGTTCAATATCCTTAATGGGCTTCAAACTAAAGGAACACAACTATGATTTGTAACCATTTGTAATTCCACCAAGATATTAGACATATGACCATTTGTAATTCTACCAAGATATTGGACATATGACCATTTGTAATTCCGCCAAGATATTGGACATATGGCCATTTGTAATTCCACCAAGATATTGGACATATGGCCATTTGTAATTCCACAAAGATATTGGACATATGACCATTTGTAATTCCACCAAGATATTAGACATATGACCATTTGTAATTCCACCAAGATATTGGACATCTGGCCATTTGTAATTCCACCAAGATATTGGACATATGGCCATTTGTAATTCCACCAAGATATTGGACATATGGCCATTTGTAATTCCACCAAGATATTGGACATATGGCCATTTGTAATTCCACCAAGATATTGGACATATGGCTATTTGTAATTCCACCAAGATATTGGACATATGGCCATTTGTAATTCCACCAAGATATTGGACATATGGCCATTTGTAATTCCACCAAGATATTGGACATATGGCCATTTGTAATTCCACCAAGATATTGGACATATGGCCATTTGTAATTCCACCAAGATATTGGACATATGGCCATTTTAAAGAGCTGACTGGGTTTAACAATTTGTGTTGTTTTAAAGTGCTGAGGACAATAAAATTTAAAAGATGTAAAAACTATGGACTTATTTTAAAATGTTTCTAGAAAACTGAATTTCCAGAGATGTGTTCAAAAACCTATTCAGGGTTTGCAAAATTGCTGTTTCATTTTCTCTTAAAGTCCATTTATGAGGCATGATTCAGCACTTTACACTAGAGTAGAAACAACCATAATGTATAAATTTGAATACATGCAGACATCAATCTTAGATTTTACGGACATAAATATCTGTTTTCTAACAAAATTAGCATGTTATTAGCAAAATTCAATTTTTATCACTATTACCGTAATGTATTAAGATAAAGAACAGTTATTCTTTAATTCTAAAAGTTTCAATATTTGTTTGATGTTATTATCACAGACCAAATTAAGTTAATATTTTACAGACCATTTGAGATTTTGGTAGATCCAAACATGCATGAAGTGACACACTTTTGTCTGCCACATCTGACAGAAATCCTGAAACATACTACTGGTTACATACATGAGGTAGGAGTATATGACCTCTACATAACCTAGAAAACTTCTCATTCTTTATGTTTTATCTAAGCAATTTCCATTTCAACCAGTTACAACTTTTTAAATATCTATGTTTACTATTCAAATAAAACTGAGAAATTGTAAGAGGATGAACAGATATTTTCAAAAAAATTGTATCCAGTAAATGTTGAATCTTGACTTCTTTGTTGATATATAATACAAAGTTAGAAAATAATAGATATGTTTTGCAATGTCCAAATGTTTTATGCTTTAAAATGATGTACAATTGAAGGCTTTTGAGTTCTATGAAGAGTTACTATCCAGCAGATATCCATACTCCTGTTATAAACAAGTGTTTGTAGACGAAAGTTTCATTGACATGGATCCGTATGCAACAATGACAATATTCAGGTAAAATTGATTCATTAATACATTAAATTTGGTTTAAAAAGATTTTAAATGATTATTTTGCTTTTAAAGATTAACATGCTATATATATCTAGCCATTTCACACTGATGCAACTTCATAAAGTATTAAAGGAACATAAATATTGAGGTATCTCCATTGCCACTTGATATGTCGACATAATGTTGAGTTATTTCCCTTGCCACTTGATATGTCCACATAATATTGAGTTACCTCCTTGCCACTGGATATATAAACATACTATTGAGTTATTTCCATTTCCACTGGATATGTCCACATACTATGGGGTTATCTCCCTTGCCACTGGATATATCCACATAATATTGAGTTATCTCCTTTACCACTGGATATGTCCACATACTATTGAGCTATCTCCCTTGTCACTGGATATATCCACATACTATTGATTTATCTCCCTTGTCACTGGATATGTCCACATAATATCAGGTTATCTCCTTTACATCTGGATATATCCACATGATATGGAGTTATCTCATTTACCACTGGATATATCCACATAATATTGAGTTATCTCCCTTGCCAATGGATATGTCAAGTTGACTGAAAATAAAACAAATTTATTTATTTTGATGTAGGAAAACTTTTTTATTTTATTCATTAAAGATGTAGAAATGTTAATTGATTACCGGTTTTATAAAAAGTATGAAGATGTGGTATTACCGTATGATAGCTAATCATTGCTAATGAAACAACTACTATCCAGAGTCCAAATGATGTGGATGTAAGCAAATATAGGAAATCGTAGGACATTCAGTATTGAGAAAAGACCCCAGCATGATTATTATACCCCAAGCAACGAGTTGCGGAGGGTATAATGTTTTTGATCCGTCCGTCCGTCTGTCCGTCAGTCCTATTTCTTGTCATCGCAACTCCTCTCAAACCACACAACAGAATTTCATGAAACCTTTTCAGATAATAAGGACATACTACGTAGATGTGCATATCGACAGGAAATTACGATTCAATTTTTTTCCAGGAGTTACACCCCTTTGAACTTATTTGCCCAATATACTACTGCAACCTTTTGTCATCGCAACTCTTCTCAAACCACACAACAGAATTTCATGAAACCTTTTCAGATAATAAGGACATACTACGTAGATGTGCATATTGACAGGAAATTACAATTCAATTTTTTTTCCAGAAGTTACGCCCCTTTGAACTTATTTGCCCAATATACTACTGCAACCTTTTGTCATCGCAACTCCTCTCAAACCACACAACAGAATTTCATGAAACTGTGTAGATAATAAGGACATACTATGTAGATGTGCATATTGACAGGAAATTATGATTCAATTTTTTTTTCTGATACAATTTCTTTTTCTTACACTTATTTTATTTCTCCAATGACAATGTGGGGATGTGGGGTATGTGAGCGCGCTCACTAAGGTTCTTTAATTTTCTTACTTTAGAAATTACCACTAACAACTATTGGTCATCATATTTAAATTGAAGATACTTATGGTCCTCATTTTGTATTTTTATTGAATATTTTTCAAAGATGAATACGATGGAAGGTGGACAATATAGTACAATTAATACACATTACTTTGAAGGTTTACAGAGGTTGAAACTATGTGATATATTCTTTAAAAACCCCAAAACAACAAAGCAGTAATACTTATTATATACTTTATACTTTATTATCTACATATGGATATACCTTGATGCTATCTACATAGAAACATAGCCTAAGATGTTAATTTTACAAAATTTAATTGCAGTACAAACCTGCTGCACTCCTCCAGAATTATAAACCAAACAATAGAAACCAGGACGTTGATGGCTGCAGCTGTAGCAGAACAGTTCTTTGGATGTTTTCTTTCTATGGCCAGCTGGTAAATCATTAGTTGTTTTTATATCACTTTGATGTATCATCATTAATTTTCTATGCGCACAAACACTTTTTGTAGATAAATTCACAAATATGTTTTGTGGATAAAGTCATTCAGATATATATTGTTTGTCAAATTATGTTTACAAGTTTATATCACATATTCCAAAGGAATGTATTAGTTAAACATTATCTCAAATTATGAGTCAAAGAAATAAGTCCTTTATTTAAGGGTAAGAGATATTCAATAACTTTAATTTGTTTTGTGTATCTACATAATATATGTGTTTTAATTTAAGGCCTGATGCATGGTTAACTGTTGGCATTGCAAAATATCTTGCTGGATTGTTTATCAAGAATAAGTTTGGAAATAATGAGTACAGATATCTTGTTTCTAAGGTATATTACAAATACTTGTACTAGCATTTACATATTTTTAGAATGTAATATAGTCTTATTTTGATTAAACATGATCCAGTTATTTTAATACAGCACGTCTAGATGAGATGTAAAACTGGTTCACCACATTTTGTTCCTATATAAAGTCAGGCTATGTTGACCATGTGTTGTTTGTTGTTCCATCTCATTATTTATAACTTGTATTCTATTTAAGTCTATTTCAATAAAAGATCTATTGGGGTCACATACACACTTATTTTCACAAGCAATGTATTTACACATTTGTGAGTAGAAAATAATGCAAACATGTTTCATTGCCATTTTTTCTTATGAGAATACAAGATGGTAAGAAAATTTGAAAATAATTGTGAACTTGGTTAAAAAGGACTAAATACCAAAAAATAACTCTGAAAATTAGTTGGTTTTTAGTGACAAATTTTATATTGCCCTTGGCTTTTAGTTGAACATGCTATATCAACCAATCGTATTTATAGCACTGCTGATAATTGTTTAGTTGAACATGCTTTTTCAACCATTTGTTTGTTCATCATAGTTTGATAATAATAATAATATAATAATGAATATAATAAATACTTTATTTAAAGAGGGTAAAATCAGTTAGTACAATACTAATCTCCCCTGAAGCCCTCTGAATAATTCAAAATATAACAATAATATAATATATACATATACATACCTACATACAGCTTTTTATGCAAAACAAATGGCAAAAAACATACAGAATCGTTTCATGAACATATTTTGTTAATGATATACAAGACAAATATATGGATTTTTTAGAATATAGATAAATTTCATCTGATAATTACATTTTTAGTTTAGAAACAAGAAATTATAACACCTTTGTTTGAACTGTTCTATCGTTTCTATCTTTTTGATTTCTACAGGAATACTGTTCCAAAGAACTGTAATGGAATATTGAAATGTCTTTTTCATAAAATTTGTTCTCGGACGTGGTATGAAAAGACAATTATTGTCCGATGAACGCAAAGAATATCTTGCATTAACATTTTGGTTATTGTTAAATAATTGACAGTCCAAAGTTGTGTGTATTTCTGTTTAATTTATAGGAAATGAAACTTGTGCAGGACTATGAACACAGGGTTGGTGGAATTGTATTGGATCCTGCAGCCAAACATGGTACACATCACTTCTTTGTATGGCATAGACAGACTATCTCTCCCAAATATGCTGAGATATTTCAGAAAAAAGCTCATCTTATTCTCAGAATGTTTGAAATCAGAATAGGACAACAACTGCTCATTCAGGTAATTGATGGACATATATGTGTATATATATATATATAAACAAGTCTAAATTGAAAACAACGTTCAAACCTATGATTGCATTGGATAAAAACCGCAATTTTTATACGTGTGCATGCAAAACAAATTTCTTGGTAGAGGGGTCTAAATATATATATAAATTTTTAATTCACAAAGATTACATTTCACATCAAATAATAAAAGTTTGTTAAAATGATATCACTAACGCTTTCATGTCTTTTGACAATCTTCAGGCAACAATATAACAATGTCCTTGACGTCGCCTGAAGATTGTTAAAAGGCATGATGGAGAGTCATTTAGCTCTCCATGTTTACTTCCAGTATCATGTCATTTTCTTGCAGATGTTGTGTTGTCCTCATAAATTGTCTTATAATCAACTCTTCTCTTTAAAATGTCAGATACAGTTGCTTTTCTATCTCAAACTGAAAAGCAAGATCTTTCTGCATTTTCTTAGGGTTTTTTTTCAGATTCCTGAAAAAGATCTGACTATTGTTTCATTTCTTATCTGAACTCACTTATTTTGGTGACAACCTAATATTGTTTATAAAAACAGTTCACTACAAACAGTTTGACACCTTACTAATTTTATTCCGTAAAAGATCCTATTGTGTAACAACTTTGCTTTGATTGCAAATCAAACAATAATGTATCATGATTTTCTGTTAAATAAATTAAACATACCGGTTTTGACAGGTAACTATTAATGCAATTAAATGTATTGGGGCTTCTTAATGAGATCAGAATTCCTAATACAAAGGGTCTGGATTATAGAAGGTATTTTTGCAAAGGATGTGAAGGGAAAATAATGGGACTTCATTTTTTGTCTGGAATGGAAAGAATACTGGTTTTTACAGGGTCTAGTTTACTCAGGTTTGACTGTAATATATTTCAAGAAATATAAACATGTGTAAAGATTTAAAGGGAAATATATAAAGAAATTGAAATATATACATATAATTTCAGGTTTTGAATAAGCTGCTAGCTTTGGCGGTTTCCTCAGCACAACAGAAATTCTTAGCCAATACATGGGGTAATACTCTACTGTCTACCAGTTCTGTAAGTAATTTTACTTCTATATTTGTCATTGAATTACCTCTACAGACTGTTTGAAAAAATATATATGCTTCTAAAAAAACTGTAAAATCTTAGGTGTATGCTCATTCAGTTTAGAATGATTTCATGAAATCCTTTGAAATTTGTAAATTTTAATTTAGCTTATAATTGTTATTTTGATTTACTCAGTATAATTGAGTAAGTGAATAGTTACATAATTAGAGCCATAAATATTATATTGATTCTTATTTTAGTTCACAAAGATTATTTCCACAGTTACTGGTAAAGACATTCAGCCATTCTTGGATTTATGGGTGTATCCTTTAGATCACATCAGTTTGCTGTAATATGAATAAGGGATTAACTATATTCTCAAAATAGGAGTGATATAAATATTTTGCAACTTCCTGGAAAAAATATTTAATATTTTACTTAAAAAGGATAACAAGAATTATTAAAAATATTGGTCAAAACAACAGACCGCACCACCCAACCACCAACACCCACTCCTCAAAAAATTAGACTTACAAACAAAGACAAACACCAATGAACAACACATGATCCAGATACCCAGACTAGGCACAGGCACAAAATGTTTTACATTCCTACAATCCTCCCCCTTTGTTGTAAAGTTTTCATGGAGAGCAGGTGCTGTCATCGATGTTTTGTTTTATTGAGACATTAAACACCACATGATTTTTTCTGTCAATCAAAATAATGGTATTCCAAAGAAAGATGTATTTTTATTGTAATTATTTCAAAATAAAAGAAATTTGATTAATTGACTCTGCATAAATAAAATAGAATAAAACATGACGACTCTCAACGAAGGATGACTGTAAACCAAACAATTTTTCCGAGCAATTTATTGAATGATATGAAAAAAATAACCTGAATTGTCTAACTTTGTTTTCCCTTATATGACTGCATCCTGTTATTAGGAAAATGGCAAATATAAGCGACTGTAAAGTCATCTAAAAAGGCTATTTATGAAAAAAAATCAGCAATAATAAGTAGATTTACAGTACATGTTTTTATTTACCTTGACTTACAACCAGATCACAGAGTGGGTGTGCTCGTTTCTTTGGTAGTTTTGTGTTTAACAGAAAGAGAAATGTTGTTGAGTTAGAAATCAAACAGGATCTAAGTGCTAAAGGAGCACTGAAATATGTGGTAAGTAATCAGACAGGATCTAAGTGCTAAAGGAGCACTGAAATATGTGGTAAGTAATCAGACAGGATCTAAGTGCTAAAGGAGCACTGAAATATGTGGTAAGTAATCAGACAGGATCTAAGTGCTAAAGGAGAACTGAAATATGTGGTAAGTAATCAGACAGGATCTAAGTGCTAAAGGAGCACTGAAATATGTGGTAAGTAATCAGACAGGATCTAAGTGCTAAATTTAAGGAGCACTGAAATATGTGGTAAGTAATCAGACAGGATCTAAGTGCTACAGGAGCACTGAAATATGTGGTAAGTAAAAGTATTTACAATATGTAATTTTTAGTATATTGAAGTCTATATTAACTTATATTTGAGTGTTTTTTTTATTGCAGGGAATGAGATTTAATCAATATAAACTTCTGGTGTTATAAATGAATTGTTACCTTGACTAACATACCATGCTTTAATGGCCTAAGATAATTACATACCATATTTTCTTTTAGATACGTCTTGACCAGTAATCAGCCAAACTTCTATATTTTTTTTATGTAATAAGTGTGAGGTTGATATCAGCTAAACACATCAAGTGAAGTCATCACTTACATCTTATGTGATATTAGCTAAACACATCAAGTGAAGTCATCACTTACATCTTATGTGATATTAGCTAAACACATCAAGTGAAGTCATCACTTACATCGTATGTGATATAAGCTAAACACATCAAGTGAAGTCATCACTTACATGTTCATCTTATGTGATATTAGCTAAACACATCAAGTGAAGTCATCACTTACATCTTATGTGATATTAGCTAAACACATCAAGTGAAGTCATCACTTACATCGTATGTGATATAAGCTAAACACATCAAGTGAAGTCATCACTTACATGTTCATCTTATGTGATATTAGCTAAACACATCAAGTGAAGTCATCACTTACATCTTATGTGATATTAACTAAACACATCAAGTGAAGTCATCACTTGTGTTGATATTAGCTTAACACATTAAGTGAAGTCAACTTATGCTTTATTAAATTAAATTTTCTTCAAATAAAAATCTTATGTCGGTACTCATGAAGATTATTATAATAGTTGTAATGAAGTTCAATTGTTATTGCATATTATCTTATGTTTTTTTTAAATATTTTACAGGGTCCTTTAACAGTCACAATACAAGAATTAGATGGATCTTTTAATCATACATTTAAGATAGAAGAAAATAAGACTAAGTTTGATATAACTTGTCATTCTAAAAGCAGGAGGTAAGAAATTTGTTTTTTTATTTATATAAGATCATTTAAAGATTTAAAAAAGACACAATCTTTTACTATTATTTGAATAGAAATAAACATGTTTTCCTATTGTTATTTTTGCCTACAAAAAGTGATGCATTAATGCAAGAGTTCCGTAACACAATAATATATCCATGATTTATTTGTAGAAATAAGAAGAAAAAGATACCATTGGTGACCGGAGAGGAAGTTGATATGGATCTCAGTGCTATGGAGTAGGTTATCAAAGTTTTTTTTTTTTTAATTCAGTAAGCTAAAAATGTATATATTCTAAATTCAGACATGCATGCACAGTTTTTATTACTGTAATACATGTATGACAATGTACCAATATAAACTTTACAATAATCAAACATCTTATATAAATTGCTGGTAATATTCTATTACACCATGTACACAGAATCTCAATATCTAATCTTGCAGTGTTGTTGTTTGTCAAAGTTTGGTAATCACAGGAAATTTTAGATAAACAAAATTTCTCTGATTTCAGGGTAATTTTTATTATAAATTTATCTAATATTACTACCTCTGAGCTTTTGGTTCTGGAAACAAATTAACTGTTGCATATTTCAGTAAAGTTGATATTTTTTTTTCAAATCTAAGAATTCATGATTACTTATGAAATTTCACTTTAAACTGTCACTGTCAAAATAAAACAGAATCTATGAGATCTTTATTATTTTTTTCTTGATTATTTATCATTTTAGTGCCGATTCTCCAGTGTTATGGCTGCAGATAGATCCTAAGTTAGAACTTCTCAGACAGGTGACATTTGAACAACCAGATTACATGTGGCAATATCAACTTAAATATGAGAGAGATGTTGTCTCACAGAAGGAGGTATAACTCACACAGACTTCTTAAGAAGATTTAAGTCTTCTAGGTTTTGTAAAGTTGTACATGAGAATCAAATAAAATGTGGGTATACACCAATGTGACACAAACACAACATTAAATCAAATAGTGATAGAAGGTTTACAATACAGTTTTTAACAAAGGACAAGTAACCATACTGAAAGATTAGTATTGAGTTACCCTGAGTCAAGACATGAGTTACCCTGAGTCAAGACATTAGTTACCCTGAGTCAAGACATGAGTTACCATGAGTCAAGAAAAGAGTTACCCTAGGTCAAGACATGAGTTACCCTGAGTCAAGACATGAGTTACCCTGAGTCAATATATGAGTTACCCTGAGTCAAGACATGAGTTACCCTGAGTCAATATATGAGTTACCCTGAGTCAAGACATGAGTTACCCTGAGTCAAGGCATGAGTTACCCTGAGTCAAGAAAAGAGTTACCCTGAGTCAAGACATGAGTTACCCTGAGTCAAGACATTAGTTACCCTGAGTCAAGAAAAGAGTTACCCTGAGTCAAGACATTAGTTACCCTGAGTCAAGAAAAGAGTTACCCTGAGTCAAGACATTAGTTACCCTGAGTCAAGAAAATAGTTACCCTGAGTCAAGACATTAGTTACCCTGAGTCAAGAAAAGAGTTACCCTGAGTCAAGACATGAGTTACCCTGAGTCAAGACATGAGTTACCCTGAGTCAAGAAAAGAGTTACCCTGAGTCAAGACATGAGTTACCCTGAGTCAAGAAAAGAAATACCCTGAGTCAAACATGAGTTACCCTGAGTCAAGAAAAGAGTTACCCTGAGTCAAGACATGAGTTACCCTGAGTCAAGACATGAGTTACCCTGAATCAAGAAAAGAGTTACCCTGAGTCAAGACATGAGTTACCCTGAGTCAAGAAAAGAATTACCCTGAGTCAAACATGAGTTACCCTGAGTCAAGAAATGAATTACCCTGAGTCAAGACATGAGTTACCCTGAGTCAAGAAATGAATTACCCTGAGTCAAGACATGAGTTACCCTGAGTCAAGACAAGAGTAACCCTGAGTCAAGACAAGTTGTGAATAAATTCAACACAAAATAAACAAATATTTTCAACCAGCACCAAATTCTCAATGGTAAACAATAAACCATGAAGAGATAGTAAAAACCATGAAAACCCTGAATAAAGACAGGCACACAAACTTGTGATTGGACATAATTGATTGATTGTTGGTGTTTAACGCCACTTTCAGCACTGTTGGCTATATCATGGCGTCCATTTTTTATTGTTGGAGGAAGTCTGAGTGCTCAGAATGTACACGACCTTTGAAAGGAAAACTGGCAATCCTAGTTGATTTAGATCGGAGAACCATCTGCCATGTGCAGGGTTCAAACTCACAACTTCAGTGTTGACAGTAAAGTGGTTCTGTAGATTAACTACTTAGACCACTGATCCACCGAGGCCCCTACACAACCTCAGTGTTGACAGTTTAGTGGTTCTGTAGATTAACTACTTAGACCACTGATCCACTGAGGCCCCTACACAACCACACTGTTCACTGTTTAGTGGTTCTGTAGATTAACTACTTAGGCCACTGATCCACTGAGGCCCCTACACAACCTCAGTGTTGAGAGTTTAGTGGTACTGTAGATTAACTACTTAGACCACTGATCCACAGAGGCTCCTACACAACCTCAGTGTTGACAGTTTAGTGGTACTGTAGATTAACTACTTAGACCACTGATCCACCGAGGCCCTTACACAACCTCATTGTTGACAGTTTAGTGGTACTGTAGATTAACTACTTAGACCACTGATCCACAGAGGCCCTTACACAACCTCAGTGTTGACAGTTTAGTGGTACTGTAGATTAACTACTTAGACCACTGATCCACCGAGGCCCCTACACAGCCTCAGTGTTGACAGTTTAGTGGTTCTGTAGATTAACTACTTAGACCACTGATCCACTGAGGCCCCTACACAACCTCATTGTTGACAGTTTAGTGGTTCTGTAGATTAACTTCTTAGACCACTGATCCACCGAGGCCCCTACACAGCCTCAGTGTTGCCAGTTTAGTGGTTCTGTAGATTAACTACTTAGACCACTGATCCACCGAGGCCCCTACACAGCCTCAGTGTTGACAGTTTAGTGGTTCTGTAGATTAACTTCTTAGACCACTGATCCACCGAGGCCCCTACACAACCTCAGTGTTGACAGTTTAGTGGTACTGTAGATTAACTACTTAGACCACTGATCCACAGAGGCTCCTACACAACCTCAGTGTTGACAGTTTAGTGGTACTGTAGATTAACTACTTAGACCACTGATCCACCGAGGCCCCTACACAACCTCATTGTTGACAGTTTAGTGGTATTGTAGATTAACTACTTAGACCACTGATCTACCGAGGCCCCTACACAACCACACTGTTGACTGTTTAGTGGTTCTGTAGATTAACTACTTAGGCCACTGATCCACCGAGGCCCCCACACAACCACAGTGTTGACAGTTTAGTGGTACTGTAGATTAACTACTTAGACCACTGATCCACCGAGGCCCCTACACAACCACAGTGTTGACAGTTTAGTGGTACTGTAGATTAACTACTTAGACCACTGATCCACCGAGGCCCCTATACAACCTCAGTGTTGACAGTTTAGTGGTACTGTAGATTAACTACTTAGACCACTGATCCACAGAGGCCCCTACACAACCTCAGTGTTGACTGTTTAGTGGTTCTGTAGATTAACTACTTAGACCACTGATCCACCAAGGCCCCTACACAACCACAGTGTTGACTGTTTAGTGGTACTGTAGATTAACTACTTAGACCACTGATCCACCGAGGCCCTTACACAACCTCATTGTTGACAGTTTAGTGGTACTGTAGATTAACTACTTAGACCACTGATCCACTGAGGCCCCTACACAACCTCAGTGTTGACAGTTTAGGGGTACAGTAGATTAACTACTTAGACCACTGATCCACCGAGGCCCATACACAACCACAGTGTTGACAGTTTAGTGGTTCTGTAGATTAACTTCTTAGACCACTGATCCACCGAGGCTCCTACACAACCTCAGTGTTGACAGTTTAGTGGTTCTGTAGATTAACTTCTTAGACTACTGATCCACCGAGGCCCTGTGATGGGGTATCAAGCAAAGACATGTATGAAATATATATCATGTGTTGAGTGTCATTTGATCTATGTGATTTCTGGAATATTTGAGGGAGGATATTCGTTTTAATTGTTGAGAGTATTCCCATATTAGTTCGATATAATTATTTCTTAATTTCTTTTTTTTTTAATCATGATATCTCTTGTGTATTGATGTTTTGATACATTGTTGTATGTTCTTTGTAGGCTATTACTGCATTGGAACATTATCCCTCACCAGCAACAAGAAAAGCACTGACTGATGTATTAGAAAATGAACATTGTTTCTACAAAGTTAGAATAGATTCTGCTCAATGTTTAGCAAAGGTATGGTGTTAAAAAAGAGAAAACTTTGTTAAAAAATATATAATAGAAACATATTTTTGCTGAATAGAAAAGAAATTTCAGTGTTATTAAACATAAAGGTAGATGATTTGACTTAAAATGCATAGTGTAATTGTGGGAATATTATTGAGAGTCTCAGACAAAGAAAATCAATGAATAAAGGGTATAGCTATGTAAAATGGCAATCTCAAGTTTTTTTTTGCCCCCACCGTAGTCGACAGATTGCATTAAGTGTTACCCTTGACCTTCCGTCTTTCCATCCTTCTGTCTTTCTGTCTCATTTTCCTTGCCAAGCTTGAGCAGGGGCATTTGTGTCTTTAGACACATTCTTCTTTTTCGTTTCAGGAGGATGTGCATTGCATTTTTTAAATTGTGATTTTTGGCATGCTCAGTACTTGCCATTGATTTATAGAATTTTATCAATAATTGTATTTCTATTTTTTAGCAAAGATGACACACAAATCAAATAATATGCTGTTTTGTATTCTTTAACTTATTTTTTGGAACCATGACAATTATATCCATAAAATCATGGCAAACATTGAAACTATTTTATTACATTATTTTGTGATTATAGGTAGCCAACTCCATGGTAACCTCATGGGCAGGACCCCCAGCAATGATGACCATTTTTAGGAAGATCTTTGGATCACACTCTTGTCCAGCCATTATAAGACAAAATAACTTCTCAAATTTTCAGCATTATTTTCTATTAAAGGTATAATATCAATAAAATGCTTGCTATATGTCATTGAGACTGCAACCCAATGGCACAAATAACCAAAAGACACATAGAGTTTACATATCTTTATCTCTTATTCTTTAATATGAAGAAATCTATGCTGTATGCAAAATAAACAATTGTATAGTTCATTGCATAGTACAAAAAAAATGTTTTTGTTGATATGACATTTGCTGTATATTGCAAAAAAATGAAATGCATTTAAAAAATTTGTAAGGGTTCTGCGGAACCCAGTGTCTCGCCTACTTTTGCTGTTAGTCGCAGGCTCAACAAAAATGGGGAAAAAATTATTAAAAATTTTCCTCTAGATACTATCTTTTGATTTTAAGAAGCTTCTATCCAAGTTTGGTAAAAATCCAGGATGGTTTATAAATCTAATAAATGTTTTAAAAATTTAACTGCAGACTGTATGTAATGTTAACTGGAAGAAAAACTAAGTCCATTTATAAGTAATATACGGAAAAACAGGCAATAAATTTTTACAAAATTTCCTACTAGATACTAGCTTTTGATCATAAACAAGCTTCTGTCCAAGTTTGGTACAAATCCAGGATAGTTTAAGAAAGTTGTTAAGATTTTAAAAACTTTAATCACAGAGTGAATGTAATGTTAACTGGCAGAAAAACTAAGTCCATTTATAAGTAAAATACGGATAAACAGGATTTTTTTTTACAAAATTTACTTCTGGATACTATCTTATGATCATAAACAAGCTTCTGTCCAAGTTTGGTAGAAATCCAGGATAGTTTAAGAAAGTTATTAAAATTTCAAAAACTTTAACCACAGAGTGAATATTTGTGGACGCCGCCGCCGACAGAATGTAGGATCGCTATGTCTCGCTTTTGCGACAAAAGTCGCAGACTCGACAAAAAGTTCTTTTTACAATTGATTGATACAAGTAAAGTTATTTGAGGACTCCAGTAGACCCTCTCTTAATAGCCTATTATTTTTATGACCTAAATATTTGTTTAGCAAAAGTTTTTTAAACTGAGATATTGTAAATGTCCCATCAGTTATACAACTTGAGTTTTTGTGAAAATCAAGATATTCATTAGTGGAGATTGATCAATCTTGTTTATTGCAAAAATATGTGTGTGTGTGTTTTAATTTTTTTAATATTATTTCAGACAATTCCACGTGCCATGGCCCATTTAAGAAATCTACATGCTATATGCCCACCTGAGGTGTTTGAATTCATTATGGGACTGTTCAAGTACAATGATAACAGCAGAAATAAGGTAAAGTAAGCAAAACAGGCAGATGGTTGTCTAGATATAAAAGGTTAGCAGATGGTTGTCTAGATATAAAAGGTTAGCAGATGGTTGTCTAGATATAAAAGGTTAGCAGATGGTTGTCTAGATATAAAAGGTTAGCAGATGGTTGTCTAGATATAAAAGGTTAGCAGATGGTTGTCTAGCTATAAAAGGTTAGCAGAAGGTTGTCCAGATATAAAAGGTTAGCAAATGGTTGTCTAGATATAAAAGGTTAGCCATATGACAGAATACATTGAAGTTAAACATTGTAAAGGAAGACATTGTTGTTTGTCAAAGATTGGTGATAATTGGAAATTCACAAAAGAAAATTTCATGAAAAATGCTAATAAGATATAAATACAATTTTTGAAGTTTCATCATTGCCAATTCCTTTGAAATGTGGATGAAACAACTTTGATAGGGGCTTAGGAGTACCTTCTTTGTCCATTTCCATGTATGTCAACAGCCAGTCCACAGATATTGATTTTGATGGAGCGATATATGATCTTAATTTTGAGTGCAGATGGGACTTTGAAAGTCTTGCCATGCATCATCAGATGATGGTTAGATGACCTGTATTTCAAGGTTCAATAGCTGTAAATTGTGAGATAAAAATCAGCTTTTTGATATTTATTGAACATGAAATCATAACCTTGTGTAGTTGGAATATAACATCTTTCCAACAAAGTTATTTCACTCTGACATACTGTGATATCCCCTTCAATCATATAGCTTGTGTTAAGATGCATCTAGAGAACAGCATCTACAAAAAATGGATAACTTTGACCTACAATTTAAACCTGTGAAGTTTTACATCCAAGATCTTTATTTCTCAGGTGGTAACTGACCTTACAAAAATAACTGAAATAAATGCTCAGTACTTATTCTAAGTTTACACTATGAAACTTTTAATATTTGAATGTACTGACACAATGGAAGTGTTTTTGACTATTTCAGTATTCTGATTGTTACTACAGAGCCTCATTGATAGATGCTGCTGCAGCAACAATTACACCAGCTATTACTATCATTGGTAGTGGGTAAGTGATGGACTATTGCATTGTTAAGCTTTCCTAGGATCCTGATATAAGAAAATTCATATGCTAAAGGCCTTTTAAATAACCTTTAACACATTTTGATCAACTAGAATTATCTGTAGAAATAATGTTTTACTTTTTCAGTTGAGGCTGTGAAATCCATTCTACTTTTGAATTATGTATTTTGAAAAAGTATTATTCAATGCATAAAGGTTGAATATGTGGATAGGTAGCCGATTGGATTAGTAATTTCAAGCAGTTTATGGAATGTAATTTTCAAAGTTCAGCGAGAGAAAAAAAAACCCATTTACTACTTGTTCATGAAATTTTATCTGTGACATTTTTTAGTGTAATTTTATATGATTCAAAATTACTGCATGCTAAAACAATTTGGTGAAAATGAATTGTTTCATTTTAGTCAAGGATTGAGTACAGACAGTCTGACAACAGAGGCCAAGAGAATTCTGGAGGAAATCACAAGATGTCTTAACCTAGAGAAATTATTGCCATGCTATAGACATGTAGTCACTGTTAGGTAAATAGAATTATGGAAGAAATATACTATATATCTTTTATCTTTAAACAAATATCAGTGTCAGATGTGAAAATTGGTCAATAGTTGTAAACTTTTTTATTAACACCCATAGTGTTAAATATTTCATTTCTCAACAATTTCACTGCAACTATTGTACATAGCTTATTATCTTTTACAATTCATTTTGTAACTCTCTTTTCCTACACAATTATAATGTTTCAAATTCTCCCCTATGGTAGCTTGGTGCCATCTTTTAACTTGATTTAGTTAGTTTGACATGTATATATTTCAGTTGTTTAAAGGCTATCAGAATTCTCCAGAAGAATGGCCATCTGACAACAGATTCTACTTTCTTCATTAACTATGCCCAGTATGGTGTGTTTAGAGATGTCAGAATCACAGCTTTAGAATGTTTAGTAGATGTCATCAAAAGTAAGCAAATTTTGCTCTAAACATGACAGATTAAACATAATATATGTAAAGGGGGATATTATTCTTTAAATACCCATTTTCATGTATTTCATGGTTGGAAGGTAAACCACAAATATAAATGTTCAATGAAGTACACATTTTTTTAAGGCTTGTATGTAGACTTTGGCAAAAACATGAAATTAAATATCTGCTCACATGCAATTTTTCCTCAATCCACAAATTGCTACCCTCGAAATTAATTGAATCCACATTAACCAATTTTCATTTATATTACATATATGATATTTCTTGTGTCCATTTAGTTCATAGTTTGTTGTTTGTTTCTATCCAAATAATTGACCTGTTTTGTAATAACATTGAATAATAAAACTATCCCTGAAAATTAAGTGTTTTATGAATAGGAATAATAAACTGACAGTAATTTTTTCATCATAGATTCAATTCAAATCGTAAGCGAGACATTTATTATTTTATTAAGATGGGGTATTTAGATGTGTTATCAGTTCATTAGTTACTTATTGATTTTATTAATATTAGTGAAACTCATAAATTAATCTTGCTTGGTAAAGTTTAAATTTTTCCATGTAATTTCTAGTTGAAAAAAAGAAAAAGAGGGCTACCCAGTCTTACCTGATATATAAATAATAGTCTTTGACTGTATTTACAGCTGATCTGATGCCTGGTGATTTATACTGGTTACTTGATCTCATTGAATCTGACAGAGATAAACATGTTTGGTAGGTCTTATTTCCTAATATAAAAATAAGGAGATGTGATATTTCGCCAATGAGACAATTATCCACAAGAGACCAAATGACAAGGATGTTAAAACTATACGGCACTGTATGGCCTTCAAAAGTAAGTAAAATGCATACTGTATAGTAACCTATAAAAGACCCTGGCATGACAAACTGTAAAACAATTCAAAAGAAAAAAACAACAGCCTGATTTATGCTAAAAATAATATAAGAAAACAAATGTGGCAGATAGCCACCAACAATAACCACTGAATTACCTGACCAGGGACAGACATATAACAAATGTGGCAGATAGCAACCAACAACAACCACGGAATAACCTTACTAGGGACAGACTTATAAATAATGTGGCATGTTAAACACGATTGTCAGCACTCAACCGTAAGTGTTCATGAATGTATAGCAATAACTATTTAGTCATGTACTTATTTAAAAAACAAAATCAAAATTAAACTTATAATTCATAACACGTATTTGACATAAGTTTACAGTTTTATATGTAAAACATTTTTATTGAACTGCATGTTTTGTTCAGATAGAAGTTTAGTCAAAATCAAAATTCATCTTGTGTTTCTGGATAAAACTTCATTTGGAATGTTCAGAACCAAACGTTTGAAACATGAAGATGTATAATTACAAATGGAAGTATGAAGGGGTCTTAAAGAGTAGCCACATATCATTGTATCCAACTAAATATTTGTACATTTAACCAGATTCTTAGTTAACATATGTGAAGCCATGCATTACCAATATTGTAATAAAACATTCGGTCAAATATGCAGACTAGTAAATTTTGAAGGCAGTGAACAAATGTAATGTGATCAATTTTTCATCAGAAATGAAGTCAACAAACAAGTTATAAAACTTTTATTTTGATAATGTTACTGCAGTTGATTACCTAAGAGTGTGATGTAAAAATCTCTTTCATCACAAACTCCTGTTTCAACACAGTAAAATCACAGGTTTGAAAGAAAGAATTTTTAAATATTTCATGGATATTTTACTTTTCATTTCAATAATCAAATAATAAGATATTCTTTGCATAAATTTCCATTTCAATAATCAAATAAAAAGATATTCTTTGTATAAATAGTAATAGTAAATCTCACATTGTATTGTTTAGCAAAAATTAGTATCAAAATTGCCTATTTATTTTTAAGCCATATAGCTATGAGACAATTGATAGAGAATCCACCGTTCAAAAGAATGGAACACAATCCACTTCATACCGAGGACTTGGTGGAAAGGCTGTGGAAAATGATGAAGTAAGTTAGTTTAAATCTCAGTATTTAGTAAATCAAATGAAGAACACAGTCAAAAATAAAAAGAATGAAGGCAGAAATGAAAGCTGATTGTTTATGAATGCTGTTACACTAAATGCTGATTGATTGATTGATTAGTGTTTTAAGCCACTTTCTGCACTATTGGTTATTTCATGGTGGTCAGTGGAGGAAGTCTTAGTGACCAGAGAGAACCATTGACCTTCGACAGGAAAACTGATAATCCTAGTCAATGAAGATTGTAAGTCAAGCGCACCTGCCATGGGCAGTGTTTGAAATCACAACCTCAGTGTTGACAGGCTAGTGATACAGTAGTTGAACAACTTAGACCACTGGGCTACCGATCCTTATATACTAAATGCGTATCAGTGATAAATACATCATGGTATAGGGATGAACGGGAAATAAAATGGCCTTGATAAAAAAAAGATATAAGGAAATAGCTTACACGTTGCTTTTTTACCAATTTGCACAAAACACAGTGAATAATAAGATTTGAGAAAGAAAGCTTGTGAAATAATATTTCAAATAAGTTGCTTGGTAACACCCGCAATGTATTTTATGAAATTGATTTTTTGGTGCAAAATTTTGTTTTATAAAATCGTTAATTTATGTGGAGTGCACTTGCATCATTATCATGAAAACAATTGATGTTTATCTTATTGGCATTATCAGTAAAAGTTCAAGGAACGTATTGCTTACTATTTTACCAATTATTTTACATGTAATATTACAATTAGAAGCAATGAATTTGGAGAAATAATGTATAAAATATCCATGATTTCAATTAGAGTAATCATTTTTTTAATTTGATTTTCAGTTCGACATTGTCACATGACAGTAGACTAAGATGTGATGTTGCTGACCTATATTTTACATTGTATGGTAGAACTAGGCCAACTTGTCTTGTCATTCCAGATGTAAGAACTCCAATATTTATTAATGAAAACAATAAATAGATTCTTATATAAATTTGAACTATTTTCAGTCTCACTTTTCCATATTGTTTTCGTAGAAATTAATAAAACAATTTATAGCACATGTATGTAAAAATTTGCCATCTTGAAATATCTGTAGTATGATACAGGGTAGATGTACAAGACAGAAATACTACAGTATTTAATTAATTTGATATTCAGATAATATGGATTCAGTAAAAAAAAATCTAAATAATGTTGATCTTTTGATAAAATATCTCTTTCAAGTAAGTCCCAGAGCTTGCATGCACACATAATTGTAGTTCATGTGGACCAGTTTGTTGATAATCTTTGAAGCAACCAGTTTGTTGACACTATGACTAAACCATTGATTATGTATCCTGTATTACTGCATTCAGTATGTACTGTTTTTAAAGATATCTATATGATTGCTGACTTTTGATTTTAGAACCTTGTTGTATTAAACCTTAAAGACAAGAAGACAAGAATGAATCCTGCCATTGTTCCTGAAGAACTGGAGGTTTGTATATATCTTTGTCAAATGGGGTACAAATAATACAGTTTAAATGTTCAGATGGAAACAGTAACCATGTGATAATTTGAAATTCTGCATAATTGAATATATAATTCTGACTTTTAATGACAAGTGCTTTTTATTTTAATAGCTACTTTTTTCGATTTTCTGCTGCTATTATTCCATTATGCATGGAATAAATCATAATTTGCGAAAAACTATTGCAAAAGAATTATTACTGTTTGATGCTGTCAGTATTGTTATTTTTTCTGGCTTCTCACACTTTTTCCATAATCAGTCAACACTTGTTTTTTATATTGAACTCATCATGTGTTACAATTTTCACAGAAAATCTATCAGCTGATTTTAAAAAAGTACAAACATTTGAATATGTTCATTTTAGGACATGTTTGAAAGTGATGACGATGATGAAATGAATTTAAACTCCAGTATGAATGCAGCTGAATCTGATGACAAAGAAATAAATGTTATGGATGTGTCACCACTCAAAGATGACGTCAGTCTGAAACGTAAAAGTGACATGGCATTTGATCTAATTAAGTCTGATCATGGTATGATTACAGAATTCATGCAGAATGAAGACAGTAACTCAGAATTTAAGTTCAAACTCAAGGTAAGGTCAAACAGGGTCTGTTTGATGAATATACCACACAAAATTTTGGAAACTTGTTACCAATGAATATTTACAATTTGTTTTTTTTTTGTAAACATTAAAAATTTGTCAAGCTCATTATTCATATTTCTTATGATAGGGAGATATTTTATGAATAATATGTTTAACTTGTCAGTTTATCTTGTTGATATTACATTGAAAGAAATATTTCCATCCATTTTGATTTAAACTAATGATGTTTAATGATTTATCTGTTTTGCATGACTTATAAAATCAACTCCATTACAGATAGCATATAAAAATTGTGAATTCATTAAAATTCCAAGAGTAAGTGAAATGTTTGGGTTTCTTATTTATTTCTGTTAGTTCTGTTTAATTTTTGAAAATATTATTATTGGTTTTTTTTACAGTTCGTAATTTTTCCAATTTTCCATATAATGTTATTTTGTAATTAGAATTTCCTTTTACATGTAAAAAAAAAAGGGTTTTTGAGTATCTGACCTCCTTGTTGGTGTTGAACTTGTCTCCCCATTATGGGGGCTTAATAGTTAGATTCCTGACTAGGTCAAACCAATCACATTAAAAGAAATTACGTACATAAAATTATTATACATTGTCTAAAAATATTAAATTAATTTGTACAAGGCTTAGAAACAGTTAGAATGCTAGGCTGAAGAGAGTACAATGGTTGTTATCTTTTTACTGCAACTTTACAACTGTTCCAAATTAAATATTTTGGTAGAAACCAATAATTTTGAATTTGAAGTGGAAAAAAGACGTAAAAATTCTGAGAACTTGTATTCTTTCATGACGTTATATATAAAACTCTAGGAAACACATTATAAATGTCACAAACAAAGGCTTTATATGATCTGTGGCTGTTTATCACAAATGTTTAAACTGTCAATGCATTTTGACTACAAAAATAGTACAGTTGCAGTTTGAATTGTTGTTTTTTTTTTTTTCTCTCAACAAAGATCAACTATTTAGGATTAAGAGCAAGTGCTGGTTATGGGGAGTTAAATAAAAATGTCTTAATGGAAGGACATTTCTTCCTTTGGACAATTCCCTTGTTGGCTAGTCTAGCTAAGCATGTTAATCTAATACAAAGTAGGGTTCATAATTTAATCACACTAGTGTATTTTTATCCATAAAATTGCTGGAAGCAACCAAATATCACAAATAAAAAGCAGGTAATGCCAAAACACATAATTCAAAGCGCCTGATGATGTCAGTTTTCTCTCTATTATTATCAAAACATCCAATTTTCCTTTGATCTAGTGCCTCCTTAAAATATTATATTTACTTACACATTTATTGTTTGATGTTTGTAGTATTAGTTCACCTGATCAAATTCCATGGGATCTTTTGTCATTACTTGGTGTCTGTCACTGTGGACATCATCTGTATGTCAGCATTTCCTGTTTCTTCTTGAAAATCACTGAACAGAACCTTGAAATCAGATTTCCTGTGTTTGTGCAAAATATTTACTTGAATTGTTTAAATTTGAATTGGTTATCACTATATCAAATCATAATCATCAGCTAATTATGAATTTGAATGCTTTGACAAAATATTATTATATGATATGAATAAACAATTTTAAAATTACAACTAAAGAATTATGTTCAATAAGGCCCTAAAATAGCCCTTATTTCTAGCTTAAATTTCAAATAAGAATTTATTGACCAATATTACCATTAATCATTGTTAAAACAATGACTACATAGGAAATATACCTTTTTGTTGAAAATTTATGTATAAGCGTTCTTTTCATAACATCAAAAATAGCACACATTTTGATTTTCCAAGTATTAAAAGTAAAGAAAACTGGTAAATTTCCATAGATTTTTTGGACTAGAAAAATAGAGTGCATGCATAGACAAGTAAGATGTTTTAAGATAATGTTTGTTATATATAGATTCTACCACTGCATCGAGTGTGATACGATATTTATCCACTCGAGACAGTTAAATTTTCAAATTTAAAACGTGAGGCTCGCCGAGCGTTTTAAATATTTAAAATTTAACTGTCGAGAGTGGATAAATATCGTATTACACAAGATTTGGTGGTGGAATCTGTTCCTCTCATGATTTTCAAACAATACACAGGCAAATCTATTTCGTCTTTTCGAATGATCTGCAAAAAGATGTGTTCTTTCTATGTGACGTCATCAGGCATGGTCGCCTTTTTTCATGCCGTCACAATAGGAAATTCAGAGGAAAGCAAGAAAATTCGACGTCTTAATCGGATTTTAACCAATGAAGAACTGAGATCAAACGAACCACACGTTGATTAAATTTTTTTTTATACAATGGGTGCAGAAAGGGATAAATTGACGAAGAGTTAGAGAAAACATTATACATATCTGATATGAATATTTCGTTTGTCACAGCCTGCACTCTATGTTTCCTAGGCCTAAATTTGGTAGAAATCCAGATGATTTTGTCAACTTTCATTAAAATCTCTATTTTTGGCCAATTTGGGTTGTAAGTGTTAACACTTTAAGAGAAAAGCTGCACGAAAATAGTTCTATTTCACTTTCTCGTGTGTCTTTTCATCAACTTGAAATATTTTTTATCTTCAAACTATGAAATTAATATTGGGGCCAAATATGGCACTTATTGAACTTATTCTTTTCTGTTATTTTAAGTTTATCTCATTTAATAACCCTGTGAATCACCACTTTTCCAATATTTTCAAGGTGTCAAAATTATGTGACTTTCTCGTATTATATAATATTTATTTATAATATTGTTTTCTTTAAAGATGAAAATCATGTAATATGTCTTTTCTTTTGAATAGTAAATTATCTACATATGTATGAGTTTGTTAATTAAAGTACTGAATCTGTTCTTACCTTTAGTAAAATGCATATTTGCATGCTGTGTTTTAAATTACTCACAGGGAACCAGTATGGAGCAAACAAGTGATACCATGGCAACAGATAAGAAAACACCTAAAACACCTGTCACTTCTTCTTCAGCAAATCTGTCTTTTGCTACGGAGCTTTCGAAGTTTGTTGGGGTACAATTTTAGCTTTTTTCCTTAACTTTTTTTTATGTAGTCTGCTGTTCATTGCCTGTAATGCTAGCTCTTATTCCTGTCTTTTTTTTTGTCATCTAAGTTACATGTTTTATGTTACTGATAAACAAATATTTGAATGGCTGTAAGAAATTCTGAGTATAAACAGCATGATTTGAAATGCCAGCTGATCCACTTGATAGAGACTGTAAAATTTTGCAAGCACACAAGCTACTGTTTATATACAATAAAATATAAAACACTGTGTAAACTACTTGTTAAATGATGGTCTGGGCTGCCCATTATTTTGTTGTTGTTTTATTTTAATCCTATGGGCTATGTTTTATAAGCTTTTAACATTTCAAGGTGCACACTAATAATAGTTATAATATTTAATTGATTATGTATTTTTCCATGATTTTAAATCTACTTGATGATTTCAAGAAACAAAATTTCATGGTATTATTATATGAAATAAAATTCAGTATTAACATAAATTTTAGACTTTTTAAACAGAAGATTGCGAGTACAATTTTGAACTAAAAATAGTGATACTCACCATAGTAATGGTTAGCTTGATAGTATGTAAGCTTGTTGATAGCTTCAGTTAAAAATGTTTGTGTTTGGCATAGTTTTGATTGCACGCATAAGGTACCAACCATTCATCTTTTATGGGTTAATAATTTTTTTGTTATTAAAGTTAAAAAAAAATATGAGTCCTGAGAAAAAATCCATGGCCCCTTCAAAAGATGAATGGTCAGTGCTTAACCACTGAATTTTGTGTCAGTTTTGCAGTAGAAATGAAACATAAGAATCACTATCTATTGTCTTGTATTGCTATCGTTATCACACTGGTTACAATCAAAAGCATGCATATGATATCCAATTTAATTGTAATTGGTCAATTTTGTTTAAATTTTAATAACAGCTATTTTTGGTGCATGAAAGAAGACATCAAGTCTTCTGAAATCTAATACTGCCGGCTGGTCAAGTCTAAACAAAGTACGTTTTCAGGAGTGTTTCTGTATCCCTTTCTGTGCTTTACAATTTTAACTCATCTCGACACAGATTTGTAGACATGATCAGTAACAAGTTTGTAAAATAGCATCTTCATCATTTTATGAAATAAAGACAAAGAACAAATGTACAGTAACCCCGAATTCGGGCATGTATAGACAGCGTTTTTTTTACTTCAAAATTAAAATTGCCAGGCAGGGGTGCGAATTATAGAGTACAATCAAACAGGGGTGTGGATTATAGAGTACAAAATCAGACAGGGTGTAGATTATAGAGTACAATCAGGCAGGAGTGCAGATTATAGAGTACAATCGGGCAGGAGGTGTATTATAGAGTTCGATTAAAGCAAGAAATAAAAGAAAAACTTGATTTCGCGAACTGTTACATGTTTAAAATAACATTGATTCAGATAAATCGATGTCACATGAAGCAAGCAGTTTCAGCTAGATAAATCGATGTCACATGAAGCAAGCAGTTTCAGCTAGATACTGCAAAATATCAACATCTTGAGCTGACTAGATAGGTCATAATTGGTGACCAAAAATTTGTTTTGGTTGTAAAATGCATTTATTTCTAGACCACTAATCAGAAACCAAAGACTACAGACTATTCTACAGAAAATAAAATTGTTCACCTTTTATTTTACTATAAGTTGGCATCATTATGGTTTTAATAATCTGGTTCAAAGTACTTTCTCATCAGAAACTCTATCTACCAGTAACAACCAAACATAAACAGATATCTATCAGTAACAACCAAACATAAACAGATATCTTTTTGTTAATTGTGTCATGGGGTTGCTGTTGTTTTTTTTCTCATTTCACAACTTCCTGGCAAAGGGGTTGGATTTTGAGATTTTTTTAAAGTGATGTCCTAACTGGAAGTCATAAAAATGGTTCCATCAGCTGTTTATGTGTAATGAGTAATTTGTCAGCTGTTTAGATTCTTAACTTTTATAGTATGGTTAGTAGATATTATTTCACAAATTGATATGTTTACTTTTTCATTTCACTGGTTTAAGAAACGTATGTCTAGTGTCTTCCTGTTGACTGTTAACTTGTGAACTAGCACATTAACTATCTAGCTCAGCCTGTTAGTCTAGTACAAAGCATATTAATATCACATTTAACATGTATTTTTGATTTGTGTGATGCATTTTGACGTTTATTACAGAATATAAATGACTTGAGTGCCGATATTTGTGTTTGTAGGTCAAACCAGAAGAAGATATAACAGTAGCATCCTCCTTTACCAAAGAATCAGATAGATTAAGTGATGACTCTATGTCACCATCACAATCAAGTTCTGCTCCAGGTTGGTATTACAATATCATCCTTTTTATATCCCCACCAATACCATAATTATTGTTTAAATTTAAAGAACAAGTCCTATTTTTTCATAAAAACGAGTTGCCAACAGAGATCAACAGAAGGATACAAATATCTTTTTAGAAAGTTCTTAATCATTGTTTGCAAAAATAAACACCATGAATGTAAAACTCATAGTCTTAATGTGTATTTTGACAGAATGAATAAGTAAAGCATGCATGAGAAAGAAGTTAAAAAAAAAAACCTAATGTAGATGAGGATTTAAAAAAAAAATTTAAACAAATCTCATCATTATTTCAAGTATTTTATAAATGATTCAAGGCAGGAAATCTTTTATATTACTATGAAACAAGCAGTTTATTACATCATAAAAACAACACCTTCAATGTAAAATAACTCATTCTAAATCATATTTCATTTTGAATATTATTTGTGTAGATCTTGTTTTCCTTTATAGAAAAAAAACTGTTCTGTTTAGATACCGTCTGTTTGCACACGGAAATCTTAAGAAAGTATTATCTCGTCAATAATGAGCATGTATACATGAATAACCACATACAGTATGATTGGGTTATAAAGCATACACGACTTAAACACCACGTTAATAACCTTTTTGGGTAATTAACAGTACAATAAACAGTATAAAAAACACAATAGATTTATGTATGATATTTGTAGTAAATCTGTAGCAATGGCTCATTTCTTTTATAGCATCAGCTGTAACATCCCAACCAACATCATTTTCTGGATTGTTTTCATCAGTATCAATGGTGGACTCCATGGACCATAGTAGATTACATAAAGTCAAGAAAAAGAAGAAGAAAAACAAGAAACACAAACATAAGCATAAACATGAGAAATCTGAAAGGGATACTTCTGTTGATCGATTCAAAGACTCAGAACAAGAAAGTGTTTTGTCGTTAGACAGGTTTAAAGAAGGACATAAATCGTCAGAGAGTAGTACTGTCAATTCACCGTCAGTGTTTAATAATGCTCCAAGCTCACCAGAATTTGAAGTTATATGAAATTGTATGGCAAATGTTTGAATTGAATAGTCTAACTTGACTAGAAAAATCTATTGAAAAGATTAAGTAATTTGATTCAAGGATCAGCAATTTGAAGAATACAGAACTTGACATATTCATACTATTTTGTATTTGTACTATAAAGACATATGAGCAGAATTTGATTCACATATTGGATTTAAGAATTTTGAGACATTATTGTCCACCATAATACATTCTTTGTATGTGTGTAATGGTCAAAATGAAGATAGTAAATAAATAATGAGAAAATAAATGTTATACATAGTTGAGGCGAGGAGGATTAATTAGATGAAAATAGGTAAATCTTTTATAGTACAGTAGTTGTTAAATATTAGCAGGTCTTCTTTAAATGTACTTAAGTTGGTGGTCATATTTGAGAATAGTTGGTTATATCAACCAAAATTCATAAATGAATGGGAAGTACATTATTTGTCTCATGTATGGAAGCAATTTTCCCTATATTTTAGAGACTTTTTTTCAACTTTTTAATTCTATTGTAATAATGAGTTCCATTTTCCCAGGATATTGGGGTTATCAAACATTTTAAGACAATGATTTATTTACCAAAGACCTTTCACATGATGTTACTTATTTTTAGCTCACCTGGTCTAAAAGGCTTTCCGTTCTCTAACTTTAGTTTGCCTCAACCACATGGAATGAAACTTATACACAATGCTTATTACCACAAAACACAGATCAAGTTTGAATTTGGGTGGTGTCACTTTTACCAATCTAGAGTTATGCCCTTTACAAATGGAAAAATTGCTGAATTTTTCGTTTCCGTTCTCTAACTTTAGTTTGCCTCAACCAAATGTTATGAAACTTATAAACAATGCTTATTACCACAATATACAGATCAAGTTTGAATTTTGGTGGTGTCACTTTAACCGTTCTAGAGTTATGCCCTTTACAAATGGAAAAATTGCTGAATTTTTCGTTTCCGCTCTCTAACTTAAGTTAGCCTCAACCAAATGTTATGAAACTTATACACAATGCTTATTACCACAAAATACGGATCAAGTTTGAATTTTGGTGGTGTCACTTTAACCGTTCTAGAGTTATGCCCCTTTACAAAAGGAAAATATTGCTGAATTTTTTGTATTTTTAATGTGTATTTGATAATACTGTTATGTGTGAACTTGACCTCATTACATCACGTAACAACTCTTTGAGGGATCTGTAGGAAGCCTGTGGCAAGGATAAATTTCTGTCCAATCCAAGATAGCCTCATTTTCCAGTGGCATCCCAAATTTCCTGTCCATCATCCAGGTCAACCCCATCTTTGCAGGACCTACCTATTGTATTTATTGTCAGTTTGTTCTTGTCCTAAACCTGCATGAAATATTTGCCACTGGACGTAAATCAAACAATCACTACATCATCTTACATATATATCTTGTGATACGCAAAAAACATGCCATGAATCATCAGTATCAATGCTGTCAAAAGTTATACACCAATACAACTTTATACACTTTGATGAGCAATAATAACGTCATTTGTAATCCTTGTATTTATAAGTTCTGAGGCACACATAACATTGTTTAATTGAAACTGTTTGTTACCTTGACAGACACATTCCAACTTTATTTTGGTAGTGGGCAACAATAATACAAAGTATCAATAACCCTGACTATGCAGGTCCTGTCTTTTGATCGGTTAGGTGCCAATTCTGGTTTTTGACCTCTTCCTCTTTTCCCTAGTTTCAAAGGTGGGGCTTGTCCATTATCATTTCACATTATATACATCTAAAACAAATGTAAGCTATTTTTCTATGTCATTCAATATAATTACATGATTTGAGGGAAAGATAATTCAGAACTAGAAATTTGGGGTTCCAAAAAAGGAATTTTTGGTGGTGTGGGCTGAACTTATTGCACTACACTGTCAAGTCAAGGCATTGTGGTCCAGAAAGGTTCTGAACATGCAGAAAGACATTTATTTCAAGTGTTCAAAGAAGTTTTAAAAAAAAGAGCTATGAAATGGCTACTTCCAGTTAAAGGGCCATGTACAGTCAAACATACAGAATTTTGGCAATTTTTTTTACCGGAATGGCATTTCATAGGCTGTTTTCTTTCAGTGGTATCACTTTCTGGATAAAGTTGCTCCTCAAGGACCTCTCTCCACACAGGACACAAACACTGTACATTCCAGTTACATCAAGCCTTAGGGTCAATAAGTATGTCACAGAATAGACTGCACACACTGAAATGTCTCGGCTGCGTTACCGTACTTATAATTCAATTTATGTTGAAAGTTTGAATATGAAGGTTTTACTACAAGTATCACATAAACTTAACAGTATCAATGATCCATGAAAATAAGGTCAAGGTCATCTGAACCCTGCCAGACAGTCATGTACACATTACAATCATCCCATACACCAAATATAGTGGTCCTATTGCTTATACTGTAAATTCAGAAATTATTGCGTGCATTTATTATTGCGATTTTGTCATTTTAGACTAAAATGCGATTTTAATTTTTGCGATATTGAGAAAAATAGTGTTAAATTCATTTTAAAAATTTCAAAATGCGAGTTTAAATTATTGCGATTATAACCCTGTCGCATTTTTCGCAATAATAAAAACATCGCAATAATTTCTGAATTTACAGTAGTATATTCTAATATGACGTTCTTCTTTCGTTTTGGAAACAAAGCCATGTTCTAATTCCAATAAAACATGGGCTGCATGTGATTGACGTCACAATTGAAATAGCAATGTCAGCTATGTTTTGAACAACGCCGGAAATCAAAATGGACATTTGTTTTGGTGTTGCTCGCTAGGAAATTAAATAAAATCATTCTAAAAGTAAGTTTACATGTATCTTTTCATTTGCTTATCGTGAAACGGTTGATTTTCTATAACGTTTTGGCTTCTTCAAATCAAAATGGATGCCTTTTGAACGCAAACTATAGGTCTGCTTCGAAGTAGAAAAGTTCTAAGTTTTCCTATTAGAATCGAAATAATTCTATCATGCCATGCTCTATGCTAATTTTAACATGGGTAGGCATTATATTTGTCAACATTTTACACCTCGCTAACGCTCAGTATAAAGATATTGACAAATATAATACCTACCCATGTTAAAATGAGCATAGAGCTTGGCATGAAAGAATTATTTCTTAATTATAAACTGGCAAAATCATGAAAACTTGACATTGACCAAAGAACCATGATACCATGATTATGAGGTCAAGTTCATATGAAAACTGCCTTCCATACATAAAATATAATGGCCCTATTGCTTATAGTATCTGAGAAATAGACCAAACCACAAAATCTAAACATTGTCCAATGAATCATGAATATGAGGTCAAGCTCAGATGAAACCTGTCAGTCAGACATGTACACCTTACAATCATTTATACACCAAATATAGAGGCCCTATTGCTTTTACCATTTGAGAAATAGACCAAACCACGATAACTAAACATTGTCCACTGAACCTTGAAAATGAGGTAAAGGTTAGATGAAACCTGCCAATCAGCCATGTACACATTACAACCATTCCATACACCAAATGTAGTTGACCTATTACTCATAGTATCTTAGATACAAACTTGACCATGTAAACTTAACCTTGATAACTGATCCATGAAATGAGGTCGAGGTCAGGTGAACTTTGTTTGACAGACATGAGTGACCTTACTCATAATAAATGAATATTTCACTTGACAAAACAAGAGTGCACACGTTGAAATGTCTCACCTGCTTTACTGATCATTGATTTTATGTTGATAGCCCTGAATATAAAGCTTTACTACAAGTATCACATAAACTTAACATGATCCAAGAAAATGAGTCCAAGGTCAGATGAACCAAACCGGAAATACATGTACACCTTACAATCATTCCATACACAAAATATAGTTGACCTATTGCTTATAGTTTAAGAAAAACATACCAAAACACAAAAAATCCGGTTGAAAAACTTAACACTGAGCAAAGACCGTGAAAATGAGGTCAAGGTCAAATAAAATCTGCCAGACTGACATGTACATCGAAAAATATTCCATTCACCAAATATAGTTGACCTATTGCATATAGTATTCGAAAAAAAGATCAAAACACAAAAACTTAACTTTAACCACTGAACCATGACATGTACAATTTACAATCATTCCATACATCAAATTTAGTAGACCTATTGCTTATAGTATCTGATATATGGACTTGACCACGAAAACTTAACCTGGTTAACTGATCCATGAAATGAGGTCGAGGTCTGATGAAAACTGTCTGACCGGCATGAGGACCTTGCAAAGTATGCACATACTAAACATAGTTATCCTATTACTCATAATAACACAGAAATCAACATTACAAAAAATCTTAACTTTTATTTCAAGTAGTCACTGAACTATGGAAAAAGAGATCAAGGACAATGGTCAAATGATAGACAATCGGAAACTTCATAACATAAGGCATCTATATACAAAGTATGAAGCTTCCAGGTCTTCCAGCTTCTAAAATATAAAGCTTTCAAGTATTTAGTTAACGCAGCCTGATCACTATCCCTGTCGAGCTTTCTGTGACAGAAGTCACAGGCTGGACAAAAACTAAACAACTTTTTCAAGCAGTCACTTAACCATGAAAATGAGGTCAGGTGGAAACTTAGGAATCAAAGGTATCTACATACAAGGTATGAAGACTCCAGGTCTACTAGCCTCTGAAATATAAAGCTTAATACAAATAGTTAACGCTGTCACTGCCCAATTGAAACCCTCATCTTGCATTCTGTGACCATCGTTGGAGGCGAGATAAAAACAGTCTTTTTCTACCTTTTGGTACAAGAAAGCAAGTGGAAAGAGCATGATGCATTGTGAATTCCATTTGCTTTGTATAGGGCGGATTCATATTGTTCTACCAAGGAGTTTTTTCCCCTGGCAAAAAGTTTTAACATTTGATGGACTGGTGTTAACTAACAGTGACTAATACAACATGAATATCGGGAGAACATGTTAATGTGATATGAATATGACATTTGATTTGTACTTGACCGACACACTTAGTGACTTTTAAGATCCTAGTGAACAAGGTAAGTCAGCAGAAAATCAAGTTAAATTACCCAGAAACATATTCCAACTCCAAGCCGACCAGTCTTTGCTCTTACTACTAAATGCAGTGTGCTTAGTGGAGAAGTAGCAAATATACATTTTCTAGTCTCTGGTTTGACCTGGCTGAGGATCTAACCCACTTCCATCACTAGAAAAGTGCATTCTACCACAAGACCATCAAGGCAGTTTAAATTTTAAACAAAATAGGTAATTTGAAATGGACTATTGAGTGAATAGTCTATTTTAAGAATTGAACAATCCTTTAAAGCAATTTAAGCTGGTCTTGAAACATGGGTATGGTCTATGCCTACAGAAATCTTCAAATAAGATAGTATTTCACACATAACAGAAGACGACTGCATCATGTAACATGGTTTTTGGGTTGGGACATAAAACATTCAACACAATTGTAATTTTTTTTCCTTATGCCCTGCCTAAACTAGACAAACAGGCTATCCAAAAGGGGTTTTACTTGAGCAAATAAAGAATATAAATTTCATAAATTTATTTAATGGCCACACAAGAACAGCCATAACTGCATTGTACTTTGCGTCAGATAAACAATGACTCATCAAACTGAATATTCACATTTAAACTTTCTACAGCTTTATTTATTCCACATAACTATCTGTCAACTCCATTTTCCTATCCAGATGAACATTTTCACTTTTAAGTATATACTTTTAGTAAATGTAAACTCATTTTTTTTCAAAAAACCAATTGATTTGATTCATAAAATCAAACAACTTGGATATTCTTATATATAAGAATTTATATATGGAGTTGGCGATAAACATGTATTTGCAATATTAAAGTTATTAAACAAATGTCATGAGGGGTCAATAAATACATACTTTGGTTAAATTTAAAGAAAACAATAAAATACTATTTTATATACAAATTTCATATGAACTGACCAATTATAAAAGCACCAAAAAAATTAAGTGAAATATTTCATATTTCTATACAATAAATTTGAACCTGATATTCAATAAATAATCTTTCTCTTATCTAGGACTATATGTCTATATCAAAGACAAGGTAGGTATTTATAATATCACTCTAGCATATTACTTCATCATCAACACCACATAAATTCTTCCTTCATGTTTACCTACTTTAACCTGAACTGAACCTGAGTATATTACTAAATGAAACTGACACAACTGTATTAGTCCCATTAATTTAATTTTTAAGATAGAACTTAATGTGTTGAAAAGATATGATTATAGTGGGCAAGATCTAATACCTTCCTTTTTAGCATAGACAAACAATCCTAGATTTGACAATTTTAAAAAATAAACTTATTTCCATGAAATAATGTGTCAATATAATATATTAAAAATCTGTATATTAAGTAAGATCATGTTGTTGTCTTTGTCATCTGTGCACACCATTGTATGAATGACATGGTTGTATTCTGTATAGCTGAGATTCCTGTTGTATACATCTGTTGCAAAGACTTTGGTGTAAAATTATTTCTGAAAAAGATGGCAGTAAGAATTTACTTCATTGGGGTTAGTTTTATTTAAAAGTTTGTACAAGATTGTTGTAGCCACTATCCCATCCTTTTTTACCTCTATAGTGACATTACTCAATGAGTTATCATATGATGTGTACTTGCCCTGAGCAACACGGCGGGTGCCAATAGAGGAGCAGGAAATGCTTACTGGAGGACCTGAGTTTACCTCTGTTTTTGGATGGGTCTGTGTTGCTCAATCTTCAATTTTCTGTGTAGTGTTTTGTGGAGTATTGTTTATTTGTCATTTATCTTTTGGCTAGGGTGTTGTCTTAATCTCTCCCACGAGCACATACTCAGTATATTTACATTTGTTCAGCAAAATACAAAGGTACTACCATGTAAGATTTAAGAAGTTTGACAATTAAACCCTGTATCCTATAATGGAAAATTGAACAACTTCAACAACTGCTAGTTTTGTGAAAATTTGAAAAAAATACATACCCTTTCATATGCACATCACTGATTTTTGTATTTATAAACTGACAGGGGGAAATATACCACACCCCACCTGACTCTTATTAAATATGGCAATACAAACAATTTCATCTAATTCCTTTGGTTGTTATTATTATGTTAAATACAGAATTCAAAATATTGGTTAACCTAAAACAAAGGCTAGTCGATACCATATTTGTTCAAGATAACGTCATCTAGATAGTAATATCTGCATACTGGATAGTAAGTTTATTTACAAAGAAAATAATACTTACAATATTAAATTTTCTTCCAACCACTTATACGTGGTTAAAAATAAATTGGCCGCATGGCCATATATTAATATGACATTATCCCAGACCCAACTCCAGGCTATTGAAATATAATTTCCTAACTGGTTGAAAAATTCTGGTGATAATGAGTATACCTACAAAATATGAATATAAATATTTTTAACACTTTGAAAGTTTTACTTTTAAAGAAATTTACCATACATCTTTTCATCATGATTTATCTTCAAGTGAAAAATTTAGTTTTATTTAAAGGAAGAGATTTATCACTCAAGAATCAACTTCTTTATTTCGTTCTACATTATAAAATATTTTAATGATAATTTGCTTCAATGATATCGATACAGTGTTTACTATTTAAAAAAAATATGTATAAGCATTGTGTGAAAATATAATATTCTTAGAGATATCATATGTCATGTTTTGTATCCGACTTTTCATTGTAAAGGCCTTGTAATTATGTGCCACACACATTTTTCTTATACAGTAGACTCCACCTAATCGGATATCGGCTGAACGAATATATCGGCTATTGTAATATTATTTCAAAACATCAAACCATTCCCTATATGTTTAATGTTAGTTTTATCGTGTAATCGAATATCCGATAAAGAATATATCGGCAAATAGGATAAGAATATTCAGGAAAATTTTGTCAAAACCATGCACAATCGGATATTTCCAATGTTTTTCTGACAGGAAATAGACCCGGAAGTTCTGCAATTACAATCTTGCAGACAAGAAAGTTTTGTATTTACTTAATGAAAGGAACTATTTCTTAATAAATTGTTGTCTGTATTCATTGTCTTCCTTTGTAATGTGAATTAGATGCCCTCAAAATTCAAATGGTTTGAATTAATTAATAAGATATACAAGAGCAGTGCGTTGGGAGAATTTTGATTAAACTCTGTGCTCACAGAATCAGAAATATAATTTAAACTGAATATACCTCAGTGGTCAGGGCTAGTAACATCTCAGGATTAGGTCAACTCATTATTGCAAAATATTCAACGAATATACATTTATCGTCTAATTGAATATATCAGGTAATGGGATATTTTTTGCTGACATTTTGGGTATCCGATTTGCCGGAGTCAACTGTATCTCAAAAATTGATGAAAATAAAAGAAGGTGTCTGAGGACACAAATGGCCCCGCTCAAGCTTTGCAATTTTCCAAGTAAAAAAGGGACATAACTCTAGAGCAGTAAATGACTTACTGCCCAAATTCGAAATCTGTCTGCCTTTTGTAGTTTTAAGCATTGTGAATGAGTTTCATATAAATTGAGTGAGGCAAATTTAAGTAAGAGTTCAGAAACGAAAAAATTTGCAATTTTCCATGTTATAAAGGGCATAACTCTAGAATGGTAAGTGAATTGCTTCCCAAGTAGAACTCTGTCAGCAAGTAGTTTTGGTTCTTAGCATTGTGTATGAGTTTCATAAAATTAGCATGAGGAAAATGGGACTGACGGAAGGATGGATGCACGGACGGACATACGAACAGAAAGACAGACGGAAGGTCAAGGGTAACACTTAATGCTCCCGTTGCTGACGGAGGGGGTCATCAAAAAAAACTTTCTGATATATAAATTATTTCTCTGCATATCTTTAAAAACATACCCAATGCCATCCTGCGATTAACTTGATGAGTAGCCATTCTCTATAAGGTGCTGTCACGTCTACAACTTTGATCCACATTGTGGTAGTGACCTCTACCATTTTGTTGACCTGTGGTCCAACAACAGCTGCTACTTTGCCATAGTACAATGGGATGTTGACACTCAACCAGCTAAAATATAATGTAAATATCATAGATTATTGAAAGAGAAGGAAATGTCTTTTATTAGATATGATCAGTTGTACAGTTATTTGTAGATATTTATAGTAGTTAGACGCACAAGTTTTATAAATGGCTATGAGAGGTGTGCCATAGATACTTTCTGTGAGAAAAAAAATTGCATGTACTACATATGCAACTTTTGTGAATGGTAGCTACATGAGTAAATTGTGTGAATGGTAGCTACATGAGTAAATTGTGTGAATGGTAGCTACATGAGTAAATTGTGTGAATGGTAGCTACATGAGTAAATTGTGTGAATGGTAACTACATGAGTAAATTGTGTGAATGGTAACTACATGAGTAAATTGTGTGAATGGTATCTACCTGAGTAAATTGTGTGTATTGTAGCACTTTGGAAAATGAACTTAAAGGTCAAGTTATTGTAAATAGATGACAGAGATTCTGCATAGAATTTAAATGTTGAATTTAGGTTAAAATAAAACAATACTTCATTTGGATTTGGTCAGACTGAATGATTTGAATAAGAATGAAGATTATTTGTATATAGAATACACTAGTTTGGTAAATTTATTTTGAAATCCTCACTTCTTTGAAAGCTTTATCTTAAAAGTTAAGTTTTTTGCAAAATTAAAACTTCTGTGTAGACATAGAATAATTTAAGACCAAATTTATAGAAAGCATCTTGTGTATGAGTTTTCTTTTACATAAAAATATATAATCATTTTAAAACTATGAAAACAATTACCCATATACAATGCCATAATATGTAGTCAGCCTTCCCCAAACCTGTTCCAAAAATCCAAGTACCCCATAATTCTCCATAAATCTCATGGTCTTGGATTCTGTAAAACAAAATATCTTCATACAGCGAAAACTGTAGCAAAACTACACCAACAGCAAATAAGTGTCCTATATTCACATTTAATAGCATTCTAATGTGTAATCTGCCATCAAAATAACACTACAATGATCTTGATGTCATCTGCATTACAATGTTTAAAATTATCTTATTCTTTCAAAGAAGAAAAGGAAAAAAAATGTAAATTTCTGTGTCTCGCCTGTGATTGCTGCTGTCAGCATGGTCAGTGTAAAAGTGAAATGTAGAATGTAAATAATAAGTCCATTTATCAGCAAACTACAGGTTTTTTTTAAATCAAATTATTTTTCTTCTGAATTTTATCTGAATTGTCCCATTAATTTTTCCATGGCATTGTCAGTTTGTTTTCCACTTAGGAGTTTGAATATCCCTTTGGTATCTTTCACCTGTCTTTTTCAAAATGAAGTGGCTTACTTTTAAAAACATTTATAATTACAAGTAAAGTGATTTTCCATAGGTATATTTACTATCTGTTTGTATTTAATGGCAGCTTTATCCCATAGACATCTAACTTATATACAATGATGATACCTTTTACACTTGGACTTGAGAACAAGTCATATGCCACTATAGCTGAGACAGCCCCACACAGAAGAAAGATCAACCAAAACCAAGGAAATCTTGCCTGTTCCATCTCATGCAGCAGATCCTAAAATTTGAAAAAAATACATGTTGAAAAACATTCTCTGTAGTGTAAATGAGTCACATTTTATTTTATTACTATCAAACTTAGACGTAGTGGTACTTATAAGACACCCTGTGCAGTTGTGGCTGATTTCTTATCATATTCTTCCAATCACGTGTATGTCGATCTTATCTCACTTGATAATATTGTACCTCTGTCCTTTAATACAGTTTATGCTTTCTACATGCATCACTTCGTTACAGCTATTTATTTAAATATGACAAAGACTGCAATTTTATTGCTAACATAAGAATTTTTATTATGTCATTTTGCTGACTCTAAAATTCAGTAGGGTTTATCTTCACCATGAAATATGTAGTATATATAGTAAAATTTTAAAAATTAATATATAAGGCATGAGCTCTATAGACTAAAGTCACAAAGATGTGTATCTTAACTTTTCCATTATGACAAACTGTGGCCTTGACCTTTGAATTCTGATTATAAAATATATCAAGATTATGATTGAGCACTAAACTAGGCTTCTCAGTAAGATATAGATTAGCATTAACCTAGCATTATGGGTAGACCATATAAGACCCTCATGGGCAGTCAATCCTTAAACACCCCCTGTCTCACATGGTAGGCCAATAATGTTTGGTTAATGTTAATCAACATCTTACTAAGAAGCCTAATTTGGCAGTAGTAGTGTTGATATAAACAGTCAGGGGACTTACTTAAATTAGTGATTTTCTTAATCACTGATTCAAGTAACATTATGTCCATAAAGGTTGGAAGTAAGAGTTGTCTTTCTTTAATAATCACCTATTTAAGAAGTACAAATTAATCACTAAACTAAGTGATTTAATTTTATTGTAGCTTTAAATATAGAATACTAATGATCCAGGGACTAATTATGATGCTAAAATTATCAGAACCAACATCTGTGTTGATAGGATGACCGGGTCATGTCAGGTGATGACCTTGTACTAAATCTAGGATAATGACATAAAAATCACTTGTTCAAGTATCATACCTGAATTTCCTTCCAAAAAATCACTTCTTTAAGTATCATTATTTTAATAACCCCCACTAATTTCAACACCCCCGAACAGTGAAATTTTGATCGCGAACAGTAGAATTTTATAACATAATCTATGAGATGAAACCTTGAATTTTACAGGAAAAATACTCCCACTGGTGGGAAAAATCTGTTAAGAAAGTATCAGTTCATTATGTAAAGCCATTTTTATAGCATTTTTTCAACTAAAATAGAATTTGCAACTTAATGATTGCATCAAAGGCATAAACCTTGCTGCTTTAAAGAAGCAAAAAGTTCATTTTTTTCAATTTTACTAATGAAAAGATATTATCTAAACCTATGTGTTTAAAATTTTTGTAAAACTACAAAATCACAATTTGTGACAAAACTTCGAAATTTGCTACTTAAATAAGTGATTTAAAAATCACTTATTTCAATAAGTCCCCTGACTGATAAAGTTTCCCCTTTTCTGATCAACAAGAATCATTATTACCCTACAAGCAGTAGAACACTTTCCATAGCCATCCATACTGTTCTTGCCTTGTGCAGCTAACTCATCATTAGTAATAGAGAATGACCGTAAGGTCTGCTGGAGCAACTTTTTATCAAGCTTAGATCTCAATTTATTCCAGTTCTGTAGTAAATATTGTAACAATATGCTGAAAATAAAATTTAAAATGAGCCTCTTAATAAGTTCATTTATAATCATTTCAAGCTGGGAGACACATAAAAGGCAAATTAATACAGCAGATCGGTGTTTCAATCAGAGAAATTTTAACATATTTTTCAAATTTAGTTTAATACATGCATTCCTCATTTCATTAACATTTATTCTAAAACTAAATTTGTACTTTGAAATTTTTTTTTACCACTTCAAATTTATGACTTACTGTGTCCACTAAGTAACAAAGGTTTTGTTGTAAGTATGACCAGATATTCTTTTCAATCTACATAACTGTATGTAGCACTAAAAGTTCAACAAACCAAGAACCTATACCAAAAGGAATGAAGATTTAAACATACCTTGAAGGAAGTAATTTGTTAGTATACATCTGACACCACACACTGTAGCATTGTTTATCAGTCACCAGACAGTTGATCAGACAATTGAACAGCTGAAAATAGACCAGGTTTTTTATAAAAAAAAGTTATGGACAGAATATGCATATATATATCTGTTGTTGCCTTTCTCTCTTTTATTCAGACTAGAGAACAAAAAGTGTAGAAAATAATAATTGATTTCAATAGATCTTTTACCCTACAACTAGACATGAAAAAGAAGAGAAAGTTAAAAATAGTAAAACTAAACATATTTTGTGAATATTTGTTTGGGGGATAAAAAGAAAATGCATACAATGTCAGAAAATATTATTTGCATTCAATACAAAATGAAGTAAATGTTAAGGGAGCCTCAATTTGTTCCTGTATCTAAAACTTATATGAATATGTTTGATATTTTTTTTAACAATGTAATGTGTACAAACATTTTCCAAATCAAAAGAAAAATACCTCTGTTTTCATATTCTGGGAACATTTCTGTGTCAGTCTAGTTAAATAAGATGGGAAGACTGATCTTGCTGCTGGAGGATTCTTTCCACCAAAGGCTATTATCTGCAAAATATGAGCATGGAATGACTGACTGTCCTTGAAAATATTTATGCTACAATGTAGAATATTTTACAAACTGGAATGGTTTGAATTGAAAGTTAAATTCCTTCCCTATGCATTCCTGAATTAGAAAACTATCTGAGTTATTTTTACACAACTTGAGGTAAACAAGCAGTTCAGGTCTCACTGTATAGGACTCGCTGGACCACAGTGCTTTTCTTACAAATTTCATTTAGAAAACAGGGAATTTTTAATACTAGCGTGTTTCTAGAAAATACATTCACAACACAATCCATAAGAAAATAATTTCTGATACCTCACATTACCATGATTCTAAAATGCCCTGGGAAGAACACTGACCACTAGAGCAATACTTGCTTCCAAAAGCTTTGTGATGGTGAATGCCTCTCATTTTAAAACTGATTAGCAACATTTCTATGATCCAACTATTAAACCAAGCATATTTAAGCCTATCACTAACCTTGTGTCCCAAAAAAGCTGCTATACCCTTGTATAAAGCTATCATCACTAAGTCAGGGACAACATTTTTACTCAAATCATTTACAAACGTCTGTATCCTTGATATACAAGACTGGTTTTGTCAGTAATTGGTTAAAGATCGTTAATTTCTTATGTGTAATCAAGTTTTCTCCCATCAATTAAATGGACCCATGTTTAGAAAATGGCCTTTTAAAGAAAAAAAATCACCAAACCTAGGAGTAGATCATGTGATATGTCCCTGTAACAATTAAGATACATGCAAATCAATCTTATCTAGAACTTATAACATTAATTCTAACCCTCATCTTAGGATAGACAGCTATTAGTTTCTTCTTAAGTTCATTAGAGAAATGGTGGTCCTCGAATACAGCATCCATCATGTGAAAGTACTCCCTCACTGATACTTCACCATAAACTCTCTTCATGTCTGTATGTCTCCTATAGTAAATATAGCATTTTCAAAATCATATACTTCTGATTTACCTCCAGTACACACATCAATCAGAAATAATTTCTGTTTAATGTATCTTCAATATTTTATTCTGTAAATATACCAGCTTTTTTTATTATTTAACCAGGAACTTTATTAAGTATTATACAAGTTGAAATGATAAAGTCTGTGTCAAAAACACCAATTTACCAATCTTAAACACAGAAATTTGAAATTGAAATAATTTTACTGAAACTTGATAGTCTGCAAACTATTGTTCCTTCTAATTATCACACTTATCAACATTTATATGACTGTAAACTTATAAAAGCAATTGTCTTTTTCTCCCATTTTAGCTGAGACAATCGTTACTCCGGTCTTTTTGATTACTCACTAGTCTTTTTCGTACTCTACTTAATGTTTTAAACCATGTCACTTTTAACTACTCACTTGAAAAGATTTTCAAGATATTCCACACAGAAAGGAGCAAGTCCTTTAGAGCTGAGAAAAGGAAGCATTACTTTGAACCAGATCCTCAATCCACACTTGAAATCCCTGGCAGATTGGCTGAGGGCCCATAAGATAGACAAACACTTTTTTGGATTGTTAGTGTTGGTGGAAACCAACTCTTCATACTGAAAATTATACCATATATATCGTAAGAATAATCAATTTATACAATTAACTTATGTGTATCCAAATAGGCTAATGAAAATATATGTGTAATGGAGAATGTGTCCATTGGACACAGATGATGCCCCTGCTTGTATATAACTTTATAAAGGGACATAACTCAAGAACGGTACAAGTGACGCCATCCAAATTCAAACTTGATCTGAGCTTTGTGGTAATGAGCATTGTGTATAAGTTTCATAAAATTTGGTTGAGGCAATCTTCAATTAGAGAACGGAAACAAAAAAATCAGCAATTTTTCCATTTGTAAAGGGGCATAACTCTAGAAATGTAAAAGTGATGCCACCCAAATTCCAACTTGATCTGACTTTTGTGGTAATAAGCATTGTGTACGAGTTCAATAACATTTGGTTGAGGCAAACTAAAGTTAGAGAAACAATTTAACTAAAGTATGATTTGGTTAAATAAATGACCACAACCATGAAAATCTGCTTTATAAAGTTTCTATACCTGTTGTAACTTTGATATTACCACACTTGGTTTCACTTGAACAAGTAGTTGTAAAAACACTCTGTATCCATAGGTAGAGTGGACTGTAGAAAATAGAAAACATAATCAAGTATTTTTCATTTGTTGAAGCTATCATACATGACATATTATCATCTTTAATCTTTAAAAGCATGCTATGAAAAATTCAGAAAAGGATTGATCATTCCCTATTCAGCTACTGTAAATTCATCACTATTTGTTAGGTTCCAATCTTCATGGATTTTGCTGGTATAGATGAACCAAAATTTAAATGTTTAACAAAGTCTAAATTTCCTTGTTTACTATTGAGCTTGAGCATATCAACAAAATCAAGTATTTATGAAAATAAATAAATTCATACCAACTTTAACAAAACATTTAAATTTAACTTTACAGATACCAAAACAAAACCCATTTATAATATACATCTGTATTAGGAGGGTCTAAAGTGAACATAACATATCGTTTTTTTAAACTCTGTACTTTGAACTTCTAATGAACACATTTCTACCACTGAAATTAACCTCTAGATGTCTCATTTTTGTTTTTGATTCTTATGTTGTTGGGTAACTGTCTCATTGAGATTTCCATCACACCTCATTTTATAATACGAGTTGCAGGCTTCATTTACAGTACATATTTCTGTAGGTGTTGGGACTACACAGGTACTTATTCAAGTTAAGGTTAAGTACAATGTTGAATGTCTACCTTTGGATGATTCTGTCAACATCATCTGTACACAGTGATAGAACATGTGTTCCTGGGTTTCAGCAGGTGCTTCACTGATGGTACATCTTATCATCTCCTGGCAGTTACTGTTCAGTTTATTTACTGGATATTCTACAACATTGGTAATACATATTAATTAGTAAGTCAATTGTATCTTACATTTTCAGGAAACTGTTGAGGCACATGCAAGTCTCATATTTCACCCCCTCCACCTTTAGAATCTTTTTCGACATTGTCTTTAAAATAATTTATTGCACATAAAATGGTCCATGGTTATATTGCCACCAATATTTTTATATAAATCTATTGGCACTTATGTAAAATAACAACTATCCAACAGAGTCCAAATGAAGCGAATTTCAGTGACAACTAAGCATTCATCAATTTAGTACAAACAATTATTTATTGTATTTAAAGGATAAGCATAAACTGACACAGGTATAGTTGCAGAACTTGTAGGTACTGGTAACACCATTTCTTATGTTACCAGTTAAACATGATATGGTCAGCTAACTGTTATCAACAGTACTACTCTTATGACATCTTTTCTGCATTTAACTGCTTTCACACTACCTTTTGGTTTTCCAGTAAATAAAGGGTCAGTTGTTTCTTGGACATCTTCAAGTTTCATGTTAAGAAATGATGCTAGATCCTTCAGCCAAACATCAATGTTATCAGGAAATCTTGTCTGGGTCATTGTAAGCAAAGATGAAACTTCATCCTGGGTTATCTAAAATATATCAATAGTCAAATTTATAATTTTTTTCTAATCAAGCTCAAATGCATAACTTTTAATGGTCAGTCATAATGAGTTAAATAAAAGAAAAATGTTAATATGCAAGAGTCATTGTACTATTTCAAACCTAATGACGTTTTGTTTTCTTTGTTAACTTCATACAGGAACGGCAATTCAGCAATTTTTCTTATTTATAAAGGGCACAACTCATGAATAGTGAAAGCTACGCCATCCAAATTCAGCTTGATCTGTGTTGGGTGGTTAAAGCATTATGGATAAGATTCAAAACTTTTGGTTGAGGCAACTTAAGTTATAGAAGGAAACCAACTTCGGGACATATATACATACTGATGGGGAGACTAGCGTACAAACAGACAAGGACAAACCTAATGGTTGGTCATAAAAATACTTATAGAATAACTAATCGAAGAATTCAAATAGAGAAAAATATTCAACGAGTGACCGAATAATACATTAATTCACGAATGCGCGTAATTATCGGTCACGAGTTGAATATTTTTCGATATTTGAATTCTTTGATTAGATATTCTTTTTATTGCATTGGCAAAGGGCTTTTTTAAATGAAATTAATGTAGAAAATGTAAGGAACTATATCTTTTTTCTATGCATTCACAATTATCGACGTCTTGACAACGCCTGTTGTTGTATGACTGGGAAATCAATGTAACTCATTGCTACCAATGTAATAAATTCAATTATTAAAGAATAAGAAACCAGTGGACAGTTAAATTCATTAAACTTCAAAATTACATCATTGCTTTTTTTATATCTTTAAAGTTTATATAAAACTACTGGATATTCTAATATGCGGTAGTGAAAATGTCATATGAATAGAAATACAGTTAAATACTTCATGAATTATATCTAATTATAGTTAGATGTTGAAACTTGTAATTTTATGTTGGACACACAGTAAACAGGACTATGACTAGTCAAAACATTTGATAAAATTATGCTCAATAGTAAAGGTACTGTTACAACTAACCGTTTTCATGGCTTCCTCTAAGGTAATAACTTTCTTCTTTTTGTCTTGTTCAGTTTTCTTTTTCTTTGGTTGATTAGGTTTCTTGTTATTATCAGTCTTGTTAGAAGTATCTTTTGGTGAGGTCTTATTAATTCCATTTGCTCTCAGTTCTTTCTCTATGAAAGCTTGGTACATGGTAGTTGACTCTTGTAGAGGAGCTAAATTATAAATACAAATAAAATAGAATTAGAAGTAGAAAGGCCTTCCAAAATCAACTTTGTTTCTTCACATGCTTAATAAAGATGGGTAATTCTTCCCAAGCTACTATTTGTTGTTTGCAATATTGATAAAATCAAGCATGATAAGATGTCCTTTAGGCATATACATTTATTCGTATGTCACAAAGAACTGTGATGTCAAGTTTTCTTGTTTGCTCAGGGTTCTCAATAAGAATTTTTCATGGTCTTAATATAATGAAATATGACGAAATAAAACTAAAACGATGCGTGTTGGATTGGTAGTTTTTATTATATCAATAAAATGTATGATCTCTTAATGGTTATTGTTCCTTACAACATATATAACAGACTTCTTTCTATGTCTATCAATTCTTGGTGTAGTGGATCATTGACTCTTGGTCTTTTACTTGGAACTGATGATTCAATGTCATCAGGTTTCCCTTTAAAAAAGGACTTTAACTTTGACGGACTCATTTTGATACTGTCACTGATGTCATTTTGTTAGACAAGCTAGTACCCAGTTAATTATTATTAATTAATTTTAATTAAGTTAATAATCACTTTGATGTTTGCATCATTATAATTATTATAGTCTTTAAAAACAAGAGTGCACACGCTGAAATGTCTCGCCTTCTTTACTAATCATTGATATTATGTTGATAGTCCTAAATATAAAGCTTTATTACAACTGTCACATAAACTTAACATTAACCAAGGAAACTAAACATTGACCAATAAACCATTAAAATGAGGTCAAGGTCAGATGAACCATGCTAGGCAGGCATGTACAGCTAACAATTCTTCCATACAACAAATATAGTTGACCTATTGCTTATAGTTTAAGAAAGACAGACCAAAACACAAAAACTTAACTATAACCACTGAACCATGAAAATGAGGTCAAGGTCAAATAAAACCTGCGTCACTGACATATAGATCATAAAATATTTCCATACACCAAATATAGTTGAACTATTGCATATAGTATTAGAAAAAAAGACCAAAACTCAAAAACTTTACTTTGACCACTGAACCATGAAAATGAGGTCAAGGTCAGATGACACCTGCCAGCTAGACATGTACACGTAACAATCATTCCATACACCAAATATAGTAGACCTATTGCATACAGAATAAGAAAAACAGACCAAAACACAAAAACTTAACTATAACCACTGAACCATGAAAATGAGGTCAAGGTCAGATGACACCTGCCAGTTGGACATGTACACCTTACAGTCCTTCCATACACCGAATATACTAGACCTATTGCTTATAGTATCTGAGATATGGACTTGACCACCAAAACTTAACCTTGTTCACTGATCCATGAAATGAGGTCCAGGTCAAGTGAAAACTGTCTGACAGGCATGAGGACCTTGCAAGGTACGCACATACCAAATATAGTTATCCTATTACTTATAATAAGAGAGAATTTAACATTACTTCAAGTAGTCACTGACCCATGAAAATGAGGTCAAGGACATTGGACATGTGACTGATGGACACTTAGTAACATGAGGCATCCATATACAAAGTATGAAGCATCCAGATCTTCCACCTTCTAAAATATAAAGCTTTTAAAAAGTTAGCCAACGCCGCCGCCGGATCACTATCCCTATGTCGAGCTTTCTGCGACAATAGTCGCAGGCTCGACAAAAAACAAGCAAATTTAAAGTGAACACTGTTCATAATAATGAGTTTGGCTTTAATCATTTTTTAATCCGTTCTGTTTCAATTTCAAAACATTTTTCACCTTTGTTTACGATCGCGATGTTCAACATGCACAATACGAGAAAATGGTAAATGTTAAATCATTTGAAGACCAGTAAAATTATTTTTAACCGTAAAATTTTATATCTTCACTGTTCGACGATCTATTTTATGCATAGTAGCAACAGTTATGAAATATTATATCATTTCATTTCAAATTCTCAAACAAAATTTACTTTTTTGTTTCAATCGATATGTATGTGATGTTCAACACTTGGAAATATTCACGCTTTTCAAATACTCGTAAAATTAAAAATAAAATGCTTCGCTGGGGCGCAGCTTGATACGACCGCAGAGGTCGAACCCTGAACAGTTGGGGCAAGTATGGACACAACATTCAAGCTTGATACAGCTCTGAATTTGGATTGTTATTAAATATTTGACACAGCATAGGTTTCTGACACAGAAAGAATGTGGTCTAAGAACTTGAATTTTTTTAATTTACCTATTATGGTCCAATGTCCAAAATCAAAATACATGGTTAGATTCAGCATATCAAAGAACCCCATATATTCAATTTTTGTTAAAATCAAACAAAGTTTAATTTTGGACCCCAACTTGGACAAACTTGAAAACTGGGCCCATAATCAAAAATCTAAACACATGTTTAGATTCAGCATATCAAAGAACCCCAAGAATTCAATTTTTGCTAAAATCAAACTAAGTTTAATTTTGGACCCTTTGGACCTTAATGTAGACCAATTTAAAAAACGGGACTTAAAATTAAAAATTTAAATACACGGTTAGATTTGGAATATCAAAAAACCCCAATAATTCAATTTTTGATGAATCAAACAAAGTTTAATTTTGGAGCCTTTTGACCTCAATATGAACCAATTTGATAGCGGGGCCTACAAATAAAAAATCTAAATACATGGTTAGATTCAGCATATCAAAGAACCTCATATATTCAATTTTTGTTGAAATCAAACAAAGTTTAATTTTGGACCCCAATTTGGACCAACTTGAAAACTGGGCCCATAATCAATAATCTAAATACATGTTTAGATTCAGCATATCAAAGAACCCCATATATTCAATTTTTGTTGAAATCAAACAAAGTTTAAATACTGGAACCTATCTTGGACCAACTTGAAAACTGGGCCCATAATCAAAAATCTAAACACATGTTTAGATTCAGCAAATCAAAGAACCCCAAGAATTCAATTTTTGTTAAAATCAAACTAAGTTTAATTTGGACCCTTTGGACCTCAATGTAGACCAATTTAAAAAACAGGACCCAAAATTAAAAACCTAAATACACGGTTAGATTTGGAATATCAAAGAACCCCAATAATTCAATTTTAGATGAAATCAAACAAAGTTTAATTTTGGACCCTTTTGACCTCAATATGAACCAATTAGATAACGGGGTCCACAAATAGAAAATCTAAATACATGGTTAGATTCAGCATATCAAAGAACCCCATATATTCAATTTTTGTTGAAATCAAACAAAGTTTAATTTTGGACCCCAATTTGGACCAACTTGAAAACTGGGCCAAAAATCAAAAATCTAAATACATGTTTAGATTCAGCATATCAAAGAACCTCATATATTCAATTTTTGCTAAAATCAAACAAAGTTTAATTTTGGACCCTTTGGACATTAATGTAGACCAATTTGAAAACTGGACCCAAAATTAAAAATCTAAATACACTGTTAGATTCGGCATAACAAATAAATAAATGTGATCAAAGATTTTACAAATCTAATGCGCCATACTGTGCAATTAAAGATTACTTCTTGAAATTTTTCAATATTTGAAATTTGAAAAAAAAATAATATTTGAAGAATAATTCTTTTTAATTTCTGAAATCTGAAATGAGAAAAAATTGGCCCCCCACAATTTCTTTTTATCCCCCCCCTTTTTCCCCAAAAAAAATTCTTTCCCTCAAGATATGGTCATAATCTCAATTCAAATTTCCAATGGAGTTGGCAACCATAATTACCCATTTAAATTTACCATAGTGCTAACTTAATCTATTTTATAATAGAATTAATAAAAATATAGTGTCAAATCTTTCATATGGATTTTTTTGTAAAAAAAAAAGATGAAAACATTTGCAGATATTTTTACTGGTCTTCCTTTATAAATATGCATTTCTTTAAACATAATTTAAAAGCAGTGTAAGGGAAGTAACCAAAACGTTGTATTTGGATTACCTCCCTTACACTGTTTTAGATTATCTTTATTGTTCATTAACCATTACTTTATACATAATTTAAAAGCAGTGTAAGGGAGATAATTTCAATGATGTATTTGATTTATCTCCCTTACACTGCTTTAAATTATGTTTTGTACTAAAGTATTTGTCCATTAACCAGGACAACCTTGTTTTTCCCCCTTTTTTGCCCCTAATTCCTAAACGGTTTGAGCCATAACCCCCCAAAGCAAATCCTAACCATCCCTTTGTGGTATGGAAACTTGTAGTATAATTTCAGAGAGATCCATACACCGTTCCACAGTTATTGTCTGGAAACTAGAAAATGCTAATTTTTGGCCCCTTTTTGGCCCCTAATTCCTTAACTGTTGGTACCATAACCCCCAAAATCAATCCCAACCTTCCTTTTGTGGTATTTAACCTTATGGTCAAATTTCAAAAAGATCCATTCACTTAAACTAAAGTTAGAGTGCGAAAACCAACATGTATTCGGACGACGACGACGACGACGACGACGACGCCAACGTCATACCAATATACGACCACAAAATTTTTTTGCGGTCGTATAAAAATTGGTGACTATTACATATTTATTAATTAATTTGAACAGAATTATTATATTTTAGGATGAAATACGTTTAATTTAAAAAAAATAGTTAGCAGTCAACAAAAATATTGATCTACGCATCACATAAATTTTTAGTTTCTTGTCAAAACAATGTGACGATCATGAATCTTCTAGGCAAAACGATGTGTTTGGGACTCAGGGGATACAATGAGGACGCGTCCCAGGGACTCACGGGTTTCAAAAATGATGCGTCCAGTTCGATTTTCATGCGTCCAGGACGCGTATACGCGTCTTAACGAGAACCCTGTTTGCTACATGTACATGATGTAGATCGTGTTGGTGAGACGGGAAAATTAAATTAATATTCATCTTTTTTTCTACAGGTATAGAGGGATAACATTTATAATTGTTGGCAATTCAACTCGAGAAACGGGTAACAAAAGGATAACTTGAAAGCCTGCATTTTTTTTTATTTTAATGTTGTACCCAGAAATCATAATTTTCCAAATAAAACTTCAAGATATACATGATATAGATCTTTGAGTGAAATTGCTCTATCATTTCTTGTGAATTCTAGTCACTTCGGCACCCGAGGTAGTTATTTCGGCACCCACAAATAACATTATGTTTTGCAAGTAAACTATTGAAGACTCTGTTTTTTATGTTTTTTTTAATATTTTCACTCAATGTATATTTGTTGTGCGTAACAGAAGTTCTAAATGGAAACTTTGTTATAAACAATGGGACCATACTATCTGTTCCTATTGGAACTTACATGTATATAATAAAAGAACCTCTATTTCATGACAACTGCACATTACTAGTAAACATCGGCTACAAGATTGGTGCCTACGTTATTTATTTTATAAGAGTAGACAGGAAAGGCAGGAAAAAACCCAATTCAAATAACAATGATAAAATTAGTTTTTATCCTCATCTGTGGATTAAACAACAGCTTGTGTAATGGCTTCTTTGTTTACCTTCTTTTTAATTATAAAAGATCAAAAACTACCTGAAACTTTATAAAACAACAAATGGGTTATTGTAATTGATATATAAGTTCATAAGTTTTTAAAGTGATAACCAATCTAAACATAATTAATAGAATATTGAGAAAACTTCAAATAAAAGCCAACTGATTATAGTTTATTGTGTATTCTTCCTGCTTAATTACGTGCGCTGAGTTTTTAACGATGTATGTAACAAAATGAACCTCTGAAATTGTAAGTTTGGCAAAAATAATATATATATATATATACATGATATAAAAAAAGACAAAAAACTACTCTCAAATAAAAAGGAATTATCAAATGTCATAATGACTTTTAATAGTTCCAATTGACTAGATGTTGATTTGACTTTTTTTTTTATAGGTACCGGATTGACTTGTTCCCTTTCTATAAGTCATTTGTTTTTCTTAATCCATTTCATAAACTGTCATAACTTATTGTCTGACATGTCTGAAAACAAGAAAAATAAGTACAGACAATATTGGGATCTCCATTTAGTTATTGTGATGGTTTTTAAAACATGCAATGCATCAACTAAATTGCCAACAGGGCCAAATACATGATAAAAATTAATCCAAACAAAACTATTTTATTAACCATTCACATCTGAATTAAATTTCTAATTTTACGTATGATACATACATGACAGAAACTACAATGTATTTGTATAATCTACTTTAGAACAATGAGGTTAAATGCATCTGGATTTTGACTACTGAATAAGACCTTACGCATAAATGATTTCTATGAAGTCTGGTACATCGTTTTTCCGTTGTAACTTGTAGATCTTAATCCAAATAATTGTTCCCAAAGCATAACGATAAATGTGTAATGAACCAAGTAATGAAACAAACGATATTACCGGCCAACATCGTATTCCTTTCACTCTTTCTTGATTTCTATTTAGAAATTGGGATAGCGCAGATATCGATGCCAAAATCTATCAATCACGAGAACCGGCTAGTGTTAAAGCTTACCATTTGCCTCAATTCTGGGCATGTTCTCCACAAATTTCTTCTTATCCTGTCTAGTTAGATGGGGAATTTGACTTTTAGTCTTTTTCCCTTTTCCCACAACTTCCCATGAAGCAGATGTACTTGCCATACTGTGTCAATTTCGTTTGTAAAAATGCCTACGAAATTTCAAATGTGACGTGCAACAAAAATATTATGCGCTTCCGTTTTTTCGGAACCTTTTTAGATTTTCCCAATCACTGCATACCGTTCAGCGAACCGTGAAAAAATTTTGCTTTTTAAAAAGCTGTCAAAAATCATACCTGGTGGAAAGTATAAAGAGCGAATGAATAAGAACACATCAATTAAGTGAAAATAAGGAGAAATTAAAAGAAATAAAAACAATTAATCTAAACACCAGGGGAAAAGAAAAAAGTTCCATTCTCTAAACACCTGTGGTTTCACTTATTCCACAGAGGGAAAGTCGACAGGATAAAGGTACATTGACTATAAAAATAGCGAAGGCAAAATAACAGATACACCAAGATTCAGACAATTATATGTCCAAGATAAAGGATTTTATTAAGTTTAAGCAGGGACAGTCTATACTAAAGTATAGTATAGAAAGTCCATGGTTTAAGAGAGGCGAAAGATACCAAAGGGACATGCAAATTCATAAGTCGAAAATAAACTGAGTACGTTATTTTGTTTAACGCCATTTTGTCCAAGGTTATAGTTGTCTTTTTGACATTGCGTCATACATTCAAATTTATTCGTTCAGTGTATGTTTACTTGTTTTTGTTAATATGTCTTTTTGATTGAGTTAAGCCATTTCAATTGATATTTTATAGTGTGTCTTTCCATGTTGTAATGTTACACTTCTATTTCAGGTTAGGGTGAAGGTTGGCGCTTGTTAAAACGTTTAAACCCGCTGCATTTGTTTGCACCTGTCCTAAGTCAGGAACCTGTTTCAGTGGTTGTCGTTTGTTGATGTGGTTCTTAAGTTTTTCTCCTTTCTCGTTTTTTATATAGACCAGACCGTTGGTTTTCCTGTTTGAATTGTTTTACACTAGTCATTTTGGGGCCTTTTATAGCTTGCTGTTAGGTGTGAGCCAAGGCTCCGTGTTGAAGGCCGTACTTTGACCTATAATTGTTTACTTTTTACACATTGTGACTTGGATGGAGAGTTGTCTCATTGGCACTCATGCCACATCTTCTTATTTCTATTGACAACGCCATGGAAAAAAAACTGAAAGAAAAAGACCAAAAGACAAACAACAGTACACAAAACACAACATAGAAAACTGACTAAAGACTGAGCAACACGAATCCCATAAAAACGGGGGTGATCTCGGAGGACGGATTGTGGTTACGACGATTGGGACATATCCGTCGTCATCTGTGAAACATATTTCATAACGGTCAACCAACTCGTGATGGCGTCCATAAAGTATACGAAGGGATGATTTCAAATTGACCACTTGGAACTCTTGGTTTAATAGCTTCCTTGTGATCAGCAACCCTTATCCAGGAAATCATGATAGGAAATACAAGCCATGGAATATCGTATCAGCTTGTGCCGAATTCGGTTCGGAGAACGAGCTGTGTGTTCCTGCGAAGGATGTTTAAATTTATTTGAAAATTACGATTATGGTCTAAATACTCATATGGCCCGACCCATTAATAACCAAACGAGCTAGTATATACTTATATGGTCATATGGATCATACGAGTATACGCATATGGTCCTAATACGCATATGGTCTTGAACATATACATTTAGTCTTAGATATATGCCTTTTTATTAGTTGTTATTGGCTTTGAACTAGCTGCCAGTAACTGCGAGTACTCTCAGATATGTACTTTGTGTCTTTTTTGTTGTTAGGGATGTATAAATACCCTGCCACGTCCGGTCTATGTTTTTGTTTGACGTTTTTTTCTGCTTTGTATCGATCTGATGAGTTAAGCCCTTTTCAAATGATTTTGATAGTTTATTCTTATGCTGTGATGTAAAACCACTGTTCCAGGTTAAGGGGAGGGTTGGCGCCTTCAAACATGTTTAACCCCGCAACATTCTTATGTGTATGTCCCAAGTCAGGAGCCTGTAGTTCAGTGGTTGTCGTTGGTTCATGTCTGTCATATTTGTTTTTCGTAAATTGTTTTGCTATAAATTTTGGTCCATCAAGCGACATTACATAATAAACACAAATAAATGGAGAAAGAAAATCAAAAGTAGTTTCATAAAAAGATAATTATAATACAAAGCAAAAAATGACATTTTCTATTTACAGCCGGAAACATTTTATTTCTTTATCAGTGAATATTTTCGTTTGCCATAATAAATTTAATTTTCCTTATACTGTCTAATTTTCAAAAGGTTTACTGCGTCTCAGTAACTGTGAGTACTCTCAAATCGTACTTTCTTGTTTATGACCTGTTGATACTAATTGTAATACTTTTTTTGTTATTTAATGTTATTCAGGGTTATATCTGGTCTATATACCAGCTATATCAACCCTCACCTAAACTGGTAGAGTGGTGTAACAGCGCAACATCAGATCGATACAAAGCAACAAAACAACTAACAAAAGCACTAAAGACACCGGTGGCAAAGTACAGATCTGAGAGTACTCGCAGTTACTGACAGGTAATTAAAAGCCAATAACAACTAATAAAAAATCCTGTATCTACGACTAAAATATCAGTACACACCCAATGTCCAATAGATTTAGTGTAAAGAGTCTTTAACAGTCAGAGAAACACATGGTCTTGTGCAAAACCAAAATATAGGTATCGACAGAATGTAGGACTGTGAATGTTCATAGGTGTATAACAACACTATTTAGTTAGGGTTTAATTTATTGATAACAAACTCAGTATTTATACGGATAAAAACAATATTAAAAAAAGAGCCAATTACAATGTTATATTGGCAACCTTTTATGGTCAGTTTATTTAAAGGATCGATAAGTTTACCCGGATTGTATTTAAAGTTACGGGCTCGGCAAACAACATCACCGTAAAAAATAGGATGAGCTATCCCGTTTGTAATAAGTTTTCTACAGGTACAGCCAAAATTTATGTTTGTTACACCTTAATATAAACTAGTAATACAACATTGATTTCATTTACAATATTTTATACACTGTAAGCATATCATATTACACATCGAGCAAACGCCCCAAACCCGAAGAAAAATGTTAAAACTTAACTAGAAATACATAAAATGTGTTTTTATCTTCGAATGTTAAAATACTTAGAACATTAAATGTTCTGTGGCGAATATATGGACACAGATTAACAACTTTACATAAAAGTAACAGTTAATATGGATACTAAGAAAATGTTTACGATATAGTTGGACACGGTCAAAAGTTCTTGTAATGTCTTACACAAAGATGTAGTGAAAAATAGCTTGTTTACGATGTTTTTTTTGGAATTTCATCCAAAAATGAAGAAATTGAGCTTCCTTCACTCTACTGGATATCCAAGTTGCATAACTGTCCTTGCAAACAACGTTCGATCTCTCAAGTGCTTCACGAGATTTCCAGATAATTTATCAACAATCAAAACTAGGCAGAGGATTACTATCCCTACGATATAGGAGTGATGCTAATCAGAAGTGAAATCTTTAAAAAAAAAAACAACAACAAATTTTTAAGTCCCTTTCCTCGAGCAGTAAAAACAAAATGTCTTCTTTACACAAGTAATACTCGTTCTGAATATATAAACATATTTAGATTTACAGAATTATTCCAACTTTGTTTCATAAAAAAAGAATGGAGAAAGCAGATTCAAATATCTTATTTCAGAAACGGACAAATTGTAAAAACCAAATCTGATTACGCAAAGCTTGTACACAGGGTATATATTTTAACCAGATTGGTAAAAACTATTCTAATTTAAAAGAAAAATTCCCTGAAACTGACATCGTAATTATTGACCTTGACTATTAACAATATATCCCGTATGTTTTTTTTTGCGTTTTCGGGGCGTATTTTCAAAGATAAGATATATTATTGATTTCTAATCCAAAATTACATGATTACTACCAAAATTTTACAATATAAATTAGATAAACACAAAAAACACTGGTTTCTTTAGTCGTTTTTATAAAAGAGGGAACTATTTCACTAATTTCTTAAAAGTAAATGTTCTCTGACTGTGTTTAGTTTTGTACATTTACGAGTGAAATGAAAGTCGTCTTCTACTTATGGAGGGATAATTCTCACGGGTAGTAAGGTCGTCATATCAAGGAGCGTTTAGTACAGTGATTTTGTCATAGTTTGGTTAAGTTGGACATGATTGTGTTAAGTGTTTTTGATGACAAACAATGACACAATGTAAACATTCTGATTTTTTGCCAAAGGAACGTATTAACATGTATTCAAGCTGGTAAATATCTTTTCTTATAGCTGATATGTTAGTAGATTAAAATTTGTATCACGAGTATATTTCCTTATTAGACACAGTATAATGCTTGCGTATGTCAACATTTAAAAAGTTGCTTACTCGTTTACCAACCATAAAAAAAAGATTTATTTACTGTCTGCTACATCACATATTTCGTTACAATATACAATTGCCGTCATTTTTTCCGAAAAAAATAGCTTCTTTTGCACATAATTACAGATTACTGACAATTCAGGGTCATGGTTTGGTTCGTGTTCAGTTATGTGATGATTCTTATAGTTATGAAGGAAAAGTAAAGATGAAAGTAAACATATATTATACAACTATTGAAAAACTGAGAAAAACGAATATTTCTCGACTACTTTTTTTGGCGTTTAACCTTTTCTACCCTATTTCGCGACAATATATGATGTCGCCATTTTCTAATGTTCTTGTAATGTTCATATACAATCAGATCCAAGTTTCACATATTAACGTTGATTTTCTACTCGCAGAAAATAAATCCCTCTAGAAAATAAGTCGTTAACAGTAAATGTAAGATATTAGCGTAACGGTTACAGAATATGCATTAATAAAGTAATCACGACGGTAATATGTTACTGCGTTTCAATGGTAACTTCTTTAAAAATTATTTCATTTAGAATTAAAAACTAGAGACTCTAAAGAGCCTGTGTCGCTCTTCTTGGTCTATGTGCATATTCAACAAAGGACACTCGCCAACATTGAAGACGAGAATAGAATTCTTGACAAAAATCTCTGTTTTGTTGATCTTGTATTACTGATCATTTAATCTGTTTAGTTTCCCTCTATCTTCT